TAAATTGTATGTTTTTATTTCACTCGCTGTTGCCAACGATGTCGTCCATAAAGTTTTCCCTTGTTTATCAATGGCGAATGCCAAAGGTATGCTGGCCATATAAACCGTGCCATTTTCATCCATAGTAGGCGCTGTTATCATATCATTGTTGAGGATAGATGAAGGTGCCTTCCATGTCCAACGCGTTTTAATCTCGTGCGTTGAAACATCACTCGATGAAACAAAGAGTTTCCATGGCAAACTCGAACCATCTTGCCAAGGTCGGACTATAATTTCTTCCTGTGAATCCAAAACAAAGTCTATGCCAGATAAACCCGGTTGTGTGTTGTTATTGAATATTTTATGTCCATTGTAATCGAACTTCAACAGACGATCATCCCCGCCTAACCATAATATATCTCCCGTTTTCAAGTCACATCGATATTGTCCTTCCATACCAGCTCCAAAAACATGTCTATCGATCCAAATCATCTCTAGGGTGTTTTTATCTAGCACAAGCGGTATCGATTCAAAATCATTGTCGCTCACTGCAGTAATCAAATGATTGTGATTCTCTTGTAAAGTCAATGGTGCATTCACATACATAAATAGATCGTAATTTTCAACACACTCTTGTGTAGGATGCGATGTTTGAGCATGGGTAACTCGACAAATCTTGGCGGTATAGATCGTATCACCTGACCAAGAGATGGTATAGTAGAGAACGCCTTGTCGATCGGATACGATATTGGAAACACCAATAGGATCCATTTCTGGGACTGTTTCGACAAATAAAGTCCATCGAACGTTTCCGTTCGGAGTTAAGCAAATAATCCAATCAGCTAAAAATACCAGATTTTCATCTCACTGAATGAAGATTTCACAATTAGAAACATTCATACCTGGATGACCTCTTATTTGACTCTGAAAGAAATACATATCACCATTAATTCCAGCAGCAAAACCAAATTGAGTGGTGTCTTGTGATGTTAAATTGAATTCATATGTCCATGGAAGTTTAGAATAATTCGTCGGTAGACACGGTACTATGCGAAAAGTATTTTGAGGATTACCTTTACCCATAGACCACAGTCCGTCCAGTTCGTTATTGGTCACTCGCGTAGCAAGAATATCAAGGCACTGATAGCAAAAACTATAAACTAGCAACCACACGCAATAATATTTCATCTCGTAGGTTTAAAAAAGAAAGAAATTCATTACGCACGAAGAAAAGCCTTCTACTTTTTATCCAGATATTGAAGTATAAACCATCTGCTGATTTTCACACTATTAGATAAGGGCATACTCGTTTAACGAGAAGTATATATACTAAAATAATCTCTACATTAAAACAGATCATAATGCTTTATCGGTGGTATACACTCAAACAATAGCTAATATCGATACAACAGTAGAATTATTACTCAGCACTGTCGTCAAATTCCATACGTGTATTTAATTATTTCGAAAGCACGACAACACTCAGTACGTATCTGATACTGATCAACAGTCCACAACAAAATTACACAAACAAGGATATATAAAAACTGCTCATTGAACTTTTCAGAAAGATAATTTCACATCGTGTGCTTGTTTTGATCTTAATCGATGTGAGATAGTGAGAAATTGACATTTCTATTCACCTTTTATTAACATGCTTATGGATTAGTAGACACAGATATTCTACCTGATAAGCTACTCGTAATGATAACGAAAATGGCTCTAGAATATCAGTTTCTTGTTTCAGAACACAATTGATGTCGTGCCATCCATCAGATTCTCTTCCAACGATTTTGACGATTGCGGACTCCTATAGTGATTGTAGTGATGGAATACAAATCGATCTTCAAACTTTTACAGCATTATCAACGTTTGGCATGTTTGGTGAGTTCAACAGCTTTCTGTAGTTTCGACTGAGTGTTCATTTATATTTAATATAGTAACTACTGCATTGATACCGATGGAAAATTCGAATACTGATGCGATACAATCGGTACCTATCGAATTCATTTCGTCTCAATATCGTGCACTCGTCAATAGAACGAAGTTCACAGCTTTAAAAATCGGTATCCACACTCATTTGCCAATATCGAAAAGGATTCGTTCTTAACACCTCAAGTTTTAGGTACATTACATTCGTCGTCTCTGATTAATTGTGTCATACCATTACTTGTTGATGTACAAATACCTATTCTTGTTTTTGATCCGGTGGTAGTTAGTAACAATCTATCATCAGATACTCTTGATATTCTACGAACTCAACTTTTGCCAAAAATCAGATTAATAACACCTACAATTGAAGAAGCAGCTGCTCTACTCCAGTGTGAAATTCATTCATTTGAAGGGATGAAAGCAGCTGCCCAAAATCTACATCACTTAGGTGCAAAATATGTTTTGATTAGAAACAACAATTTCGCAGGTCGTCCATCACAATTCACTGAAGACGGTAATAACAGAAGCAACTTTATTATGGATGTACTTTTCGACGGTATGAATTTCACTCCTTTCAAAAGTTTTCATTTTTCCGGTACTAACCGTGGTAAATACACTGCAGCTATTACTGCATTCTTAGCTAATGGTAGCGATATAAAGCAAGCGATAGAAGATGCTATTGCGTACACTGGTAATGTTTCAAAATACGTACAATCGGAGAGCGTAGTTGATGACAATTCAGTGCAGGAAGAAAATCCATACGAAATTGGAACACCGCATGGATCCTTGTCAAAGTCGTCATTCATTCAACTATTGAAAACACAATGTGCACAAGAATGGGTAAATGAATGTTCCTTCGTTTTGATCATTACTCTTTTTTTCCTATTGTAGTTCGATTATACTCACCATCGGTTTGTACAAGAGCTGGGTCGTGGTACTCTACCACAAGCAAGTTTTCAACATTATCTAATTCAAGATTATATATTTTTAACTCATTTTGCTCGATGCTACAGCTTAATCGCATACAAGTCCGATACTATGGATGAGATTATGCTTGCAGCCAAGAACGTCTGCTTTATCGGATACGAAAGTAAACTTCATACTGCATACTGCGCTGAATGGGGTATTGATACTACGAAGTTAAACACGATGAAAGAAGCACGCGCTAATTTAGCTTATACACGCTATACTCTTGACGTAGGCATGACTGGTGATTTGCTGGATCTTTATATTGCCCTTGCTCCTTGTTTATTGGGTTATGGCGATATTGCACTAAGATTATTTGAAGATCCAACGACTGATCATCAGTCACCGTATTGGAAATGGATATCAAACTATGCTGCGAATGATTATCAACAGTCATGTCGCCGAGGTGAACAATTAATTGAACGTCTCGCAATTGAATATGGCGTCTGGCATGCTCCTTGTCGCATGAAGAAACTTATTGATATATTTAGAACTGGGACGCAACTCGAAATTGGCTTTTGGGATATGGGTTTACATATGGAATGGTAGATTAATTATCAAATTCATAAGAGTAATTTAATCTTCTTTGCGATTGTATTTCTAAGATAGTTTCTCGATATCTTTTATTGGGTAACTTACAATAAAAGTCATATTTTCAACTGAATTTTATTTATTCGTTATGCGACTACTCATCAATGATGAATCTAATGCAAAATCAAAATACGTCTAAAAAAAACTGAAAGTTATATTAACGTATTTTTCCTAAACGAAGTAACACGTGAAATTTTTCGGCAAAAAACAAGCCGAAATAGTGGACTCGTTAACATATTGACAGGAAATGATTTAGCAAAATTCATATAATAAATAGTCAGTGAAAGTTTATTCAAAACCATTTCAATTGTACGTCTCCAACTATCTTTCACTAAATTATATGTCCACATCTCATACAATAGAAATCCGCAACGAAAAGCTGTTAATAATACTCCTAATCCCACTTGTACCAAGATGATCATGATTAAATGTCGATCTATATTACGATGTATTCGCGATTTCTGTTTATTATAAAATAATTCCAAACGGTATCTTATTGATCGAATTCGTTTGAGAGTAGTCATAGTACAGCTGAACATGATTGTATATACGATAAATGGACTACTAAAGAATATCAAAATAGAAAGAAATTTGACATAGAGACCATGCTGAGGTATACAATGATACTCTTGATGGGACGCATTATATTTTGAGTTTAGTTCAAAGAAGAAAAGTACGTGAGAGTAAAATATTAATGTAAACAATAATGTGAACATCGCTACAGGCCGAGCAATGTGTACTTGACTAAAACCACGCCATTTTCGTGAACTCGATGTTGACCAACACCGATCAATAGATGCAAGCACAAGAAAGAGAGTTGATAAGGACGGCAAAACCATGACTAAATACATTCGACATTTACAAAACAAAATAGAGCGACTAGGTAGCAAATATCTATAATGGTCATTTATTAAACGCGTTATACCGCCAAAAAGTAGATAAATAAGATCAAATATAGTCGAACATAAAAGATAAAATGAACATGAACTATATCGTAACTGTTTCGATGTTAGTACTAACAGATTACAAAGACTACCGATCGTACCGCAGAAAATAGTTAATATCGATGTGTAAAATGTTATCCAGATGATAATTTCATGGAGCATTTTGCAAGTGTATTCTTGTGGAGTGCAAGATTAATGATTAAAGAGTAGAAATAATTCTCGAATAGAATATATTCATCAATCTTCCAAGTACGTCATAGAATACTTACAAAATTAGAGAACACCAACGCCTGAAGATTACTAATTATCTCACATTCCAATGCTCTCTTTAAAATTGTGCGCTATGTAATTCTCTACGGATTATGAGCATAACGCATCACGAGTGAAATTTCACTTTGTTGTTCAGAAAGTATGAACATACTTTACTGTAATTGTCATATAAAATCCACAACATTCGGATGTTTCGAGAAACAATCCGTACTCTGATTATGTTAATTATTCGCGTGTCAAGGTTATATACATGACTGAAAATTTCCTTGATTAATGCGGAAAAAGAAAAGTTAGAATTTTTCTTTCTATATTTATTAATCAAGTAAGGGATACAATTTGCCGTTCTACACAACCTTTTTCAAAAACTTCTGCTCTATTCTCATCTTCACGTACGATCACGATCGTTTTTCCCAATATTTTGTAAACCATTCGTTTTACTTCATTGCGAAAAGCTTTCGATACGATAATAAATATAACAAAGCTACAGCAAAATGGTACATGATGCAAAAACAAAAGGAAGTTTTCAACAAAACTCTCTATTGTTGACCTCAATGACGTCCGTGTTTGAGATTTGGTTGCTGCATCGTAAACATAATAGACATTTATGAAAATACTAAAACTGATATAAACAAGATCATGAACGAATAAACATCGAAGTAATTGAAAATCTTTTTTGTTCATTGTTCGAAGTTGTTTGCGTAATTGCTGAGTTGGTATCACACGAATGTGGCGAACATTCTTAAATGCGAACATTGACAATACAATCATTGCCAAACAAACCGCTGCGTTAATAACCAGTGACGAATAAGAGACAAAATTAAGATAATTCGCGTCAAAATAACACAGGTAAAAGCCGGGATATAGTCGAATGATGTTTCCTTTGATAAGAACGTGGACGAAGAAAATTGACCAAAAACTTGCATTGAAACTAATAGAAAAATATGCTAAACGTCGAGAACTGTACAGACGTGTGCTGGTATCTTGGGATGAAATTAATAAACGATCAATTGAAGCGAGAATGAGAATTGTAGGGAAAAGCGTGGAAAACGTAAATCCGACATAGATATATAATTTACATAAAAGTGCACTAGAATTTTGCGCATTGATACCAAAGCCAGTGATGAATACGGTTGAAATCATATTAGAGTTAATATAACATGTGTTGGTGAGCAAACAAACGAGGAAATAGAATACACAAACATTCTTTTTCCAAGACTTTTTAAGAAAGATTATAGCAGTTAGGACGTTCCCAATATTACCTACTATACAAAGTATAGGAACAATGTAACGGTAGATAAAGGTAGTTGTATTCTTGAGACTTGTTATGTAGTATTTTTCCGATGCACTCATCTTGGAGAAAACAGAGCAAATGATGAAAAAATCCTGTAAGAACATTTTAAACTTAATTTAAAAAAAAAGATTCATCGCACTTGTTGTACAGCTTTTGACAAAAACGTCGAATACAGAAAAGTATTTTTATCTACTGTGCTCTTGACATTCAATTGTGGATTACATATCAATGAGAACTATGATAAGAAACTGAGTGGAAGAATTCGATATTATTTTCTCTCCGAATGGACTTCAATATTGTCTCAAACGGACATAAACGATTGTACGTTGGTAAATTTTGCAGAGTTCTTCGGTGAATGTCGGCGATGGAAGGATGAAAAGAAAAAGAGACGTTGGCAATGGTATCAAATAGATAAAATATGCAATTAAATAGATTGCGTTTTGCCAGGATTGTGTAATGCAATTCAGACGAAAGGTAACGATAAGATAAGGAATTGTTAAGATGGCAAGAACGTATGGAATGGTGATGTTGCCTTTATAAGTGTTCAAAACATCTTTGAGACTAGACCAAAATCTTCGATTTTGTTTCGAATCTAGTTTACCTTTAGTGAGAATTATGATCATAACGATAGGTGAAGTCAAATTGAGAATGAAAGGTAAGATGATATGTGTGGTATTGATGATCGTGACAAACCTAGTGAGTGAATAATTCCGAAGATCAGAACTACACCAAGAACGAGTTGGTATGTACGGGTCACGAAGTAATTGATATTGAAACGGTATGTAAAGATTGACAAGCAGATGATAGATAATCAATACAGGAATCACTAAATTGGCTGTATGTCGGCTGCTTTCTTTATCGAAATGTAAATGTTTATGTGCGACAACGGCTTGCTCGATAAATACACATGCTGTTAACGAATAATATAGAACTGGAAGGACTGATATGAGATATTCGAGAAGAAAACAATCAAGAATTCCGCTACTTTGTCTGCTGATGATAAGAAATAATCGAAGAGCAAATACGATTGTTCCACATTGTCCAACAATTGTCATCCATAGCCGATAGATCCGGTTTCCTCGTCCTTTCGATGCTTGACAAAATGTAGCAATCGATAAAATGTTACATATCGTTCCAAAAACAAGCATAACAGCGATACCGCCAAACGCAATCTCTTTAGATAGAAAAGGCATATCTAAGAAGGATTCCATCGAAATACTAGAATACAGCGTAGTAAACTGACAGATCGATCCATAGAAACACGACGGACACTGCGCTGTTGAATTCATTCTGTACTAATTAATTATCTGTTAAATAAGAAAAAAACATTAGAATTAGTATGGTTTTAACCGAAAATGGATCCATCCGTTCGGTAGACTAGGATGTCAAAGGCGTTGCCATATGTGAAAAAAAAACATTCTTACAGTATTCAATTTCATCTATTTACTTTACTCTGATGGAAAGAAGAAAACGAAAACTTTCATGCATCAAATTATATACTTTTTTTTTATGGATGAAAACATTGATGTTTTTCTTTACTTGTTCTCCTGACTAATGTTTTAAAGCTTTTTCTCTCTTTCAAAATGATACTTTCATTGCTCTACTGCGTATTTGTGCCCTGGAGGTAACACGTGCTCATCTCTGCACATCGAAATACACTGAGAAAGGTTATGTACTTTTCTGTGAAAGAGAGTTCGCAAATCGAGATGATTAGTATTATTTAAATTGATCAGTTAATCGTATGGATGTGGAAATTTCGTTTTCTTCGACTAGAAGCTAAATAAAGACATTTTTTATGATGATCGTAAAGCGATCGTTCTGAAAAAAAAAAGAATTCGAGCGTGGGTGCGTGTGCATTTTTATAGATGCAATACAGTTACTCATTCTACAAATATTGTATTCAGATAGTCAGGATTTGTATATTATCTGGCTGATATAGTTTGTGTGCGGAAAAGAGTATTATTTCATTCGGATGAGGATATGCGTTTATTTTTCGTGTTAGACTGTCGTTTTATTTCTTGAAATAGATTTGATAATTATATTTTAAGCATTTTTAAAACGAGAAAGAGGAAAGTTCGGTCCAGGACATGTGCGACCAACATTGAATTGATCATGAGTGTAGATATTGATACCTCGATAACGACGCTTGATATCAGCAACTAATCGAACACCTGAAGCTATCTGAGCTTCTGGCATAATGTTGTTATTTTGTGTATTACGAACAAATTCAATTCCGATACACCACAAATTGGGATTTGGACGACCATAAAACACTGAGTTTGTTGTGACAACACCTGTAAAGTGAAATAGAATTGTCTTCGTTTATATCTGAAAGCTCCACATTGAAAAACACAAAGAATACTAACCATTGTGCCATGCTGTATCATCTTCGCTAACCATCTGTACAACTGTTCCGTCTTGTTCTACGACGTAATGTGCAGAAACTTTACTTGATGGATTTTGAAACCATGAAACTGTACCACCACCAGCAGTACCGTGAAGCGTCAAACCTTCGAAAGCACATATGTAAGAAATACATACAGAAAAAACAATTATTTACATGTAATAGCCTGACCCGAGCGACCACGATTAAAATGTGGAGATGACACTTGTTTGGCCGGTAGATAATCTATCGTCCATGAATGGATATAACCAACAGCGATGCATAAAAGTAATGCAATGTATTTCATGATTGTGTTTTTTCTACAAAAAATTTTCATGAAGAAATAGATGTCGATGAATAGAGAATGAAAACATACCGTCTGTGATGGAAATATAACTGATCTACTTCTAATTTATAGTTCGATATTTTCAATCCGAATACTATGTAACTAGATACATTGATCTGCATTAATCAGTTAATACGTCGAAATGATTGCTTCGATTCATATCGTCAAATCGATCATTTATTTTTCAATTTTTTCAACTGTGTGATCACTAAAACAAAGTGACATCTTTCTTTGTTATTGTTGGTACTAGTTTTTTTTGCATATACACATCTACGATTACACTTATTTTGCGCATATGTTTGTATATGAGTGTCAGTGTTACGAAGCACAATCATAAGCTCCAAGTTGTTTCTAATATTTATGTGTGCGATGGAAAACTACAGGTCTTTCGTACAAAACGAACATTATTTCACCTCGTCTAACGTGTTACCCGTATAAATATCAAAAGAAAGAAAATGGAAGAATGAGATTTATATATAGGCGCAAAACTAAGATTTTATAGTGCTTTTTTCCTGGATGCGCAACGGAGAAAAATGAAAAACTACTCTTTAAATTGCCAACGTATACGCTTCTTTCCGGATGTTTCTTCCAACTCAATCAATAAAGTGCATCACGCAACCTTTTCATTTTTACAATGTGCTGGTCTTTATAGTATGTCATATTTTCAATACGACCTCATCATCAATGACGCTTTTATTTAAAAACCATTTATTTCAATGCTTTGTTTTCTCGTGTATATATAATTAACTAATCATGAGCTCCCGAAAATTTTACTCGATCTCGTTTGTCATTATTATAAATGCATTGTTAATTACTACTGGTTTTATCACTACTGCGAAGTATGTCGCAATACGAAATAGAAATCGTCAATATGCGAATAGTACATGCTATGTGATTAATCATACATGTATAGAGCAACAATGCAAATATTGTGTGTCGGCAAACGGTTGGAGAAGTAAATCTTGCGAAATATATCGATGTTGGAATGAATATCTTACAATCTCATATCCGATTCGGAATGAAACTGAAATCCAAAGTACTCTTACTCATAATCACGTTCGTGAGTGCAGTTGGAATATGAAAGTACGAGATCTATCCTACATTGTCAATTTTCTCTATTGAAATACATTTGTCTACTTTAGATTGGTATCAGTTACCCATGTTTCTATCAGCAACTACACGTCAATTTAATTGAATGGCATCTACCAGCTGAACAGATTTATTTCATTTTACTTTTTATATCTTTCTTCCTGTTTGGTATTATACTCATATCATGTTTACTTTTCAAATGGAGAATCGTACGTAGAAAAACAAAATCCAACTTTTCCCATTTTATCCAACACGATTCTGCTGTATTCGAACAAAATGACCAGTTGAACTCTGATCGAAGTTTAATGGATTGAAGTTGTAGAATACTTTACAAACGGCGGCGATTTTTTCCGGACGCTAGCTATGATTTGATCATAAATGGTTTTAAAAATCGATAACCGACCAGTTCGTTATAGTAAATCGTATTGATTCCCTGGTATTTGTACTATTTTCAAATAAACTTCTTCTCCTTTCGCGTTTATAGCAACAAATCGACTCATCATCACAAACATCATAGTCTAAATATGTGCTATTCCTAAAAAAAAGCAAAAACTCTAGATTCGTTTTCCATCTAAAACTTCCACTTCGATGAGAATGTATGCAAATCAACAGAAAACTCTCATTAAAGTCCATTCTACACACGATTTATCGCTTGGATTGATTTCATGGTGAAGAAATCGATAACCATTTTTCCATAATTGATTGAACATCTGTTGATGCAATGTTGCATGATAAATATCACGTAACCACCAATGAGATTCGAATGAAATCTGAAATGGTAAAGTAAATTCTCGTGCGGAATTGAACATGTCCGCAAACACGGCATATTCAGCTCCTTCAATATCCATTTTCAAGACATGAACATGTTGGTGATAATTTTCTTTCAAGATTTCGCTAAAACGTTTAAATACATAAGTTTGATTTTGACGATGTTGGTTTGTACCATTATTTGGATACATGTATTCCTGTAAATTCGTCTTTTCACCCATACATACTTGGTGAAAGTGAACATTTCGAATCGGTTTTTTCGGAGGCAAGCTTGTACAATCGTAGGTATATACGTTACATGATGTTCGTTTCGCGATTGATTCTTCGAATTCAAAATGATTATTCGAACCTAAGCTATATATAATACAATTGACCGATGGTGCAAGACTTGAAAGTCCACATAAAACTTTTCCTGTATCAATTGACTGCCCATAACGTTTCAATCCATATTTGTCCGAACATGGTAAATGTGTTGTGTCGGGATAGGCCATAAGTACAATATTTTCTTCGGTTGTATTAGGTGAACGAGCGACTTTCGTTAAAGCATCGTATACATTTTGTAGTTGCTTCTGTGACCACTCATACCAAATGTGTTCCAAATAGAAAACGGTTTTTCGATCGTAAGTGGACAGAAATGGGTTAGACGAACACCACTGAAGTCCTGGGGATAACGGTGAATGTGTAAAATCACTCATATTTTTTGACATTTTCGAAGCTTGTTGGAAATGAAAGGAATCGTATCGCATCCAATGAGTTTTTTCGATTATCCATGGTGAAAAATATCTCATAATAACAAATGTATGTATAATCAGTAATAAAATAACCGATAAGATATGTATTTTCCTAGATAATATTTTTATTGGCAGTATCATGCATTCAACAATGACTAAGATATAGAAAGTGTAATATTTTCTGTGGGGGACAAAACACATAGATTATACCTTTATTCATTGATCGAATGTGAAGCATGTGATCTCTCGCTTTCTTAGTCGACATGTGCAACTTCTTTGAGTAGCCGATTTTCCGAAAATGAATTTCTGAACAACTACAATCGCCTGGACTGATGAAAGAAACTGTTGCGTTCTCTTGAAAGAATTATTGCTTTCTAATCAGTCTTGACTAGATTTTTTCCCTCTTTTCTGTTCGATTTAGAGATATTAAGAGAGGAAGACGAACTCGTTGTTGTCAAATAATCAGCGCGCTGAAGGCAAGGAAACAGAATTTTTTTCTTTCTTCTGTCGTTCGGGAAGATGACGAGATTCCTTTCGGTCCTCTCAATCAAAAAATCAGAATAATTCTTTCTTCTCTAGAGTATGTAACAACGATGAATAAGAAGTTTAAGATGTGTTTCTAGATGTACTTACGTAGATATGGAAAAATAAATGTGATTTAAAGAAAAGATGTCAAATTTGTAATATGAGTATTCTTTTAGTTTTTTAAAACTACGAGCAGCACAGCATACCAGTTGTAGTATAGACATTTGCTCGGTTACAGTTGATCGAACAGATTGAATATTGCTCCAAAGAAGAAAATTGACTATTTTGGAATTTAATGTGTCACTAAACTTATCTCATTCACCAATACATCATAAAAACTGACTTCACTACGATATAACTCGTTGTATGTGTACTTTGATGTGTTCTTGATAGAAATTCTTTTTCAGGTGGATATGCTACTATTTATAATTCATATAGATAATGTCCGTCGTTCTGTTGAAGCTATCGTCATTTCATACGTAAAAATAAATATCTATGCATTTGATATCTTATTTGAGTGAACCTTCTGTTGTTTGGATTCTTTATTTGAAGGCATTAATCTCGTTGTAGCGTACATGACTCATACAACGTACTGAGATGGTTGAGTAGAAGAACGAGAGACAGAGGCAAACAGAAAAAATATCATATATGAGAACAGAAGAATTCGAAAAAAAAAGAAAGGTAAACGTGTCATACAGTGCGTCGATTACACAGTAAGCTGTTTTGTTCACGCAAACGCACATCAATTTTTTACTTTCTTGCGTTAAGATTATCTTTTGCGGCGTTTTGCTTCTCGATCTCATAAATGGCTAACCAACACGACACAAATGCGTTTAAAGGAGCATGGGACTTTGTATGTAGTATATGCGTTAAGAATAAATAACTTTTTCAATATTTTGCTCAAGGTTGATGGTGATGACAGCGACGAGTATTTGAAAGAATTAGGAGTTGGTAAGATGGGACGAATGATGGCTAAAACAGTCAAACCAAGACTGGTGATTAGTGAAAACGGTGGTAAATGGTCACTTCGAACAGAAACGACTCTCAAAACAATGACGATCGAATTTACACCTAATGTTGAATACGAAGAAGTTACAGGAGATGGTCGTCACCTCACAGTAAAAGCTTCCTTTCACATAGAGATTAGTTTCACAAAGGTATCTTCTACTATTTTCATTGAACAAGGGGACTATTCGATTTGAAAATGGTAAATGGATTCAGAACATGGTCGATAAAAATGGAAAGCAATCTTCGACAACACGATGGGTAGATGATAAAGATCAATTACAAACAGTAACACAAACGATTCAAATCGAATTTCATTTTCTTAATTAACCTTTTAATTTATTTTTCAGATCGCAGAGTGTGGACACGCTAAAGTTCATAAATATTACAAACGAGTGAAATAGATGAACTCTATAAGATTTCTCAACCAACATACTCGTTAGTTTATTCCAGCAGTACAAAACAATATAGTATTATTCCTGTCGTTCGATAAAATGTATATTCAGAATGCTATGCTATAATTTTTTGTTGATATTTGAATACAAAAAAAAACGTTTGGTAGTAGTTGAAGAATATTTTGATTAGTAAAGTATACCAGCTACTAGGAAGACTAATAGATGTGACCATGATAATATCGTTGGGGTGCTGCAAATTGTGGAGGTCTTCTCATCAAAGGGTATGGATACGCAGGTTGATGTTGAGGAGGAACAACAAGTGCTGCATTTCCATATCGACCAATTCGTGCCATTTGTCTCATCATCATCATTCTTTGATTATCTTCATCGCGAGATAAAAAATAATTTACAACACCTCGCTGAATCGCTTCGATTCGACGTGCTCCCAACTCCAAATCAAATCGACGTTTGTTTGTCAAATAAATCACACCCGACTGCTCTTCTCTCGCCATGTCTTTTATCGGAGAAAACCCATAGTGTGATAAGATTAACCTAGCAAACACACAAAAAATAACAATACACTCTAACAAATACTTCTACAAAGTCGTCCTTTCGTACCATCTTTCAAAATGACTTCGACTGTTTCGACTTCCAGACCGTCGATGATAAACATTCATATCTACATAACCAACATTTGCACCATATCCAGCTATCGCACCAACTCGATCACCCCAGCTCTTCGCTAACATAGCATAATCTCGATGTATATTACTTGGATATGTCTCCCCGATTCGACCTAACAAAGCAAAGGCAAAATGTAAATCATCTGATCCAACAATACAGAAGTCCATGAGACCACCAATTGCACTAAAAGTACTTCGATGCATTGCCCAAGCTACACCTGGATGAACATGTCCATATGGATAATTTGCTTCAATCGCTTTACCATGACGAATGGCATATCCGACTGAATACTTTCTTTTCAACACTTCACGTTTACCACCAGCGCCAGTCATGAAACCAACTTTGAACATTTGAACTATAGGATATTGATCAAGAGCAGCCATTGTTAATTGCGGCCAATCAAGACGCTATACACAATAGAAGAAACAAAACAGTTGTCATCTGAAACAGTGGTGAGTGTGTGTATAACACATGATGATGTCTCACTTCGAACTCAACATCTGCATCGATCCATGCGATTCGATCAATGTGAGGTGGTAGTTGTTGAACAACAATATTGATGAGATTTTCTTTCATCCATATGATGGATGGAGCTATGACTTGAAAATGTTGTGGATTATTTGGCTGTGTAACTTCGAATCGTTGTGGTGGCAAACCGTATCGTGTTGCTGATTCGAAGATACATTCGATAGTAAAAAGATTGACACCTGAACGTGCCATATGATATGCGAATTGTCGATATCGTCGATAACGAGTTTGATATCGAACAGGATTGAACATCACTGTGATGATGGCCAAACGTGAGAACTGATTCCGACGTAGATACGTTGCAACGTTACGTCGATACATAGCAAGCATTTCGTTTGAAAACAAATCGAGAGTAAGTGAATGAGCATACTTTGATTATTTTCATTACCTTTTAAAGAATATGAAAAAATTTTTCATCCTGTTTTCACCTGATGATGAGAATGACACGGTTGAGTGGAGCATGTGAACGTACAAAATGAAAGGCAGATGACAAGAAAATATGTGTTCTATGTAATTTCATTTGACTTATGCAATCACTTCATACAGGGTTCTAAAAAGAACGGACTCTACTATAGATTCCTACATTTGATTTACTCATCCAAAACAAAATGCAAAAAGATTCTTCAATTCATTTTATTCCATAGAATACAAACTATTTTCTTTCTCTGCAGTGTTACGTTAAGAACTGAAAAAGTATCGAACCAATAAATTCAATGATTTCTCTGTTCTGAAATTAAATCATAATCAAGCGTGTCTATTTGCGAAATCAAGTCAATAAAATTGGATGTTGGTAAACTGCTATTATTCGTAATCGTCTTTTAGAGAGATTCGGTGCATTTGTGCAAATAATGATTTCATTATTCGCAGACTAAAATTAACTCATGCCTAGTACTTCTATCTCCAAAATTATAGACCACGATAGAATCACGTAAATCAGCACTGATTGTTTCATTGTTCTTGATCCACCGATATAACTTACAAAAAACCAACAGATAGACTAGATCAAAATAGCCATTCTATTATTTTTCAAAAGGTATCATGCCATTACTTGACCATAAAAATCCACAGAAAATGGAAATTTCACACATTGGAATATTCCTTCGTTGGGATGGTTTAATCCAACTATGCACAAGTAACTCATATATACGACACGATTTTTTTCTTTCTTTTCTCCGTACGTATTGTTTCTCCTCTTTCTCTTGATGGTATGCTGTGGAAGAAAACTATCACCTGTTTGTATAGAACCGAAGTATTCTTTTTGCGATTAGTAAATCTATCTCTCAATGGAAGCATGTTGTCATCGCAATAATACAACAGAGAAGTAACGTTTCTGCCTTCAAACAAATGCAATTCAAGTGGCGTTGTCTAAAAAGAATGATGAAACATGCCCCCACTTTGGAGATAAAACATAATTAAAATGGAAGAACTGAGAGTTCGCTTGTCAATTATGATTTTCGACAAGCAAAGAATATGGTTTTCAACGTCATCGAACAAAGAAAAAGTATTGTTTTTGATTATGAATTAACAGCAAAATAAGTTGGTGTAGAGTCTATTGAATTTTTACTATGAAATCATGGAAAAATTGTTGTCGCTATCGTCGGGTTCGGTAGAAAATGCTGAAAAGTAAATTATCAAGTAGACAAACGTCGAAAAAAAGCAGAAGAAAACTTTTATATAGGGTAATTTTCTTTTGCTTTTTTCGATGTTTTCCTGTTCGACAATTCACTTTTCGATATTTTCCGTCAAACCCCTTTCATCTTGTGATCTGGTTGACATTGCTCTATGATTCATTGGGAAAAAACCATAAAAGGGAAAGAAAATCAAATACGTATGGTGTTTCGGTAGGCACTTCATCATACAGACAGTAGTGCGTTGCGCCACGTTGCATCATGTAGATATTAGGATGCGAAAGTAAAGTTATCGTGTTTTTCAAGCAGCTATGGCTATTCAGTGCATGTGTGCGTGCTCTTTTTTGTTCTCTTCCTTCTTTTCTCTATTCTGTAGACTGTAATCATGTGTCTTTTTTTGTAATTTCATAAGAATTGCTTAATTTTTACTGTTCGTTTTTTTAAGTAACCACATTAAACCATTGAGTGTGAGTAAATAATATAATGAGGACTGATATCTGAAATTCAGATATTTTCCTCATTTTGACAGTTGGACTCAGTGTTGATTTTGTTTGTGTAAAAACCGAAAAAGTTACGCAAGACTGAATAAACCACCATGAAAACAATATTTTTATTTTCGTTAAATGTGTTAACAATATTGGACTATTGCTACAATTGAGAATGTAGTTTTAGATTTAACACAGCGTCGTTAAAATTATTCTCATGGATCAAACGCCAACAGACTCTCATGATGATGAGAAACCAGTCCAAGCACAAGTGGACCATCCCACCTATAGTATCTCTACTAATTTCCATGCCTTATGTGATCACGAAGAAAATCGTTCGCCTGAACTACCGGATTCCGATATGACTGAAATCGATGAGGGAATCTGTTTAACACCTGCACCACGATCAATTTCGACAATCACTTCGGACAAAAGTCGTGATGTGACAGAGAAAAGCTCGAAAGGATCATCAACGCTTCCTGTATCATTAACTGTCGCTCCACCATCCGAAAATCTACAAACCAGCCGTGCATCAGAACAAGGTATATATCAAATCAATGATATTTTAAATAAATTTTTCTCTTATTCAGAACGTGTCGTCCAAAAGGATACGAAATGCCGTCGAAGTATGTTTGTTTTGCATATTCCAAGTTTTTTATAAACATAAATCAATTCGGCAACATCATTCGTGTTTAGAAAAACCATTATCATATGGGATACATATTGAACGTGAATCAAAATGTAACAATTTAACTGACTGCGTGTAAGAATTGAAAATGAAACAAATTACCGATTTTTTAAAATTCTTTTGCGTCTGTTAGGGCAAAACTACTAAACATCTCAATACAATCTGAGGGATACCATTCGATCATGTTGAAACATATCCACACCATCAGGAAGTACAACGAAGCTGACGATAGGGGACGCTTTGGTTCAGTCACATATTTTGTTTTATATGAACCTGCCGAAACTCTCATTGCCGTCAAAGTACGTATCGATTTTGAAACGATTTCAAATTAAAATCAAGAGTATCTCTAGCGTGTTCCGTACAGTGAAAACAAAGACAAACTCTTGTCAATTCATGCGGAGCTGAGTGTATTAGAAGCAACTCGAACAGATAAATCCGATTATATCGTTGGTTATTTTTGCACCTTGAGAGACTTCGTATGTATAATCTTTCGTATATGTTCTTCTTTATCAACGCATATTTTACTTCTTTTAAAGATGTTCAACGATCTTTATTTCTGCATGGAAAAAATGGATACATCGCTGAAGAAGTTTAACGAAACCATGCATTCAAAGGTTAAGTTTATGCCACAGCAGCTCGAACTTTTCGTACGGCGTTGTGCTTACAATGTGAGTCTCTTTGCATTGTCTAAAGTATGTCGTTACTTTTGTTTCGTAATAGATAATCATGGGACTTGCCTTTTTGGAATCGAAAGGTTTTGTCCATCGAGATATTAAACCAGACAACATTTTGATTAACAGACGCTGTGCGATCAAACTGGCAGATTTTGGTCTTAGTGGTCACTTAACCACTAATGAGTATGAATTCGACAGCGCTGTCGGTACTGAGCTGTATATGCCACCTGATGTTCAACAATGCTCTACTCAAAGTGACATGTGGGCATTGGGTATAAGCCTGCTTGAGATTATTCTTGGAAAACATCCGATCACTACCCGACCACCTCCTCTAGCAGTTTTGGATGTAAACGAGTGGAAGCCCATAGTTCCAACAGCAATCTCAATTGGTTTGCAAGAATTTCTCCTACAATTGTAAGTATAAACCATACCTATTGATTTCAATCATAAACTAATCGTAATTAAGGTTGAACAAGAAGGCTGCACTGCGACCTCCATCCTACGAGCACATCATTAGTACAACATTCATCGGTCAAATGTCCCCAGATCCGTCCGAGGATGAAATTGCTTTCGTCCGTCGAGTAATAAAGACGAATAACCAACGTTCATCGCCTAAAAACCGAGGATGATACAGTTTATAAATGAACATTTCATTCTTGAACTGTACTTTTGGTGACGGTAAACATATAACAGCCGTGCCATTATAATTAACTGCTGATAGCCGATCGCTTTATCAATCCAGATGACGAAAAAATCAATGTAAAAAAATCAACACGCGTTCGCACACGCATTGTGATATTAGAAAAAAAATATTCTATTTCTTTTTCCGATTCTCAAAAATGCACTAATATGTGATTATGTTTGGGCTAACGAATTTTTGTCCACTTCATGACCAAGGCACTAGTCACTTAAAAAATAAATCTAAAAGCTATATTAGATAGTAATTACATCATTTTTACTACTTGATATACTTCATCGTCGCCATCTATCGCTTCCTAATAACGATAAAAAATCGTTTCTTTTCCATTCATCACATAATTAGATCTATTTACTATGAGTAGATTGAATGGTGGATGTGATTCTTTATTGCCGCTCTATTCTTCTTGATTACACAGTGAAATAATGGTAATATATTCTAATTGACATGCATAGATCAATCATTCTGAATGACTTAAATTTCCTGTGAATTTATGACGACATAGATGATGATGTTCTGAAAAGTTTTCTGATTTTCAGGAGCTTCAAAGTGACAAATCCTATAAATGTGAATATTATATGTCGACGTGAATTCCTTTCATTGGAGAAGATAGACGGACAAACAGTATGATTTTGAAAAAGAAATTGTCTAAAAATATCCTTCTGATTGTGGGGGAGAGAAGAAGTATGAACAAAATTCATTTCCTTTTCTCGTCTCTGACGTTAATAATATCTCGGATTACGTCTTATAGATAAGATCAAGTGATTTAGTATTTGTTTCGAATCTATTCTTAAACTAGAGAGTCCGATGAAACTAAAAGATAAGTTTTATCAATAGAATTTATGAATAGACACACATTATTCTGCTTTAAAACAGTAACTATCGCTCAAAGCATAGACGTCATTTGTTTTTCAAGTGTCCTTTATTCTCACATGTCGTACAATAGTATTATTAGAGAAATGAGAAAGAAAAAAAGAGAGGGTGAGCGCTCTTTATCACCACATAGCGAGAGAAGAGAAAAAAATACTATGAAAAGTTCTATGACAACACTATTACATGAGTTTGATAGTTTGAAGGAGAAAAGAACACTCTATTCTGTTGTCATATGCATCGATAGAAATAGACACGTTCTTACTTTTATTTATAAGCAAAGTCAAACTACAAAATGTCACTTGACCAACAAATCCAACGCGAGAGTGAGCGTTTTCAAATACTATTCAATCGTTTATCGGAAACAAAATGGAGTGAAACAGCGATACCTGAAGCACAGTCTCGTTTACTGGCATCCCAAGAACAAGCTCGTCGTGTTCAAGATAAGATTAATGCATTTAATTCAGCAGCTGACAAAGAACATAAACGCTTGCTTGATATAAAAGGTCATGGTGTTCGACATGCTTGGTATAAAGTTCGTGGAACATTAGAACAACGTGTTGATGAACAGGAAAAAGTTTGGTTGAAGGAATTTGAAAAATGCAAAGAAGAAGAAGAACATTTGACGATCTTGAAAGACGAAATACAATCTGCTCAAACATTTTTACATCAATGTCAAAGTGCTTATGATGAATATGTCAAAAGTAAGCGAGCATTAGATGGGCTTTTAGAACATTTCTTTTCGGGAAAAACACCATCATATCCTGATGAAGATCGAATGGAGCAGAATTTAAGAAATCAAGAGAAACATTTGGTTAATTTGCAAAATCATCAACGTCTTCTAGCACACGTCGTTCAACTGTTACAACGCGCTCATCAGGCAGTTGCCATCTCTCGTCAAGCGCTGAATGAAGCACTGAATATGAATACGTTCGACATGTTTTCAAGTTCGTCGTTTGCAGATATGGCTGTAAGTTCCTGTCTAGCTAAAGCACGAAATGCTGCTGCACAAGCACAACAGTTACTTAACGAAGCACGACGTTTATATCCAAATATTCCACATATCGGTGAATTATACATAAAACAGGATAATCTCGTTTTTAATATCATGTTTGACAATATATTTACTGATCTACACATGAGACAAACAATTCAAGAGGCAATGCATCGAATTACACGCGCAGAAGGTATGCTAACCGGAATTTTAATGGCAATGAAAGAACAATTGGGAAGATGTGAAGCTGAATGTTTTCAAAAGAGTAATGAAGTAAAACGTCTGGCAACTGAACATTTTACTACAAGAGTCACGATTGTCAAAAATATTATCGAACCACCGCCTCCATATCAATCGTAATGGCATGAAATCCTCAAATAGCACGCCTTTAAAGTTTGCTTACGTTCGTTGTGATAGTTTTATGAATGTTCACTTATATTTTATTCCTTGTGAAAAAAATTCAAGTTTTCTGAGTCAGTCGTTCTTTTCTTATGTTATTGTAACAGAAATTTGTGCTGTAGTCCCACTTTAACGTTTCTGAATGTTTTATGGAACGCGATAAATTATCTGTACAAGATATTTCTACTTAAGTATGATGTAATTGAATCTTCGTCTGTATATTACAAAAATGCGTGTATCGCGAGAGTGTTTGGAATGAAACAAACATTTGTACAACTTGTTTGAATCATTTCGATAGAAAGACTGGAAAAAATCTCGCCTTGAAGATTTGTCTAAAACTAAACTAGTAGCAATGTAAAGCCGCAAGTCTTCAATGATTTTTCAGAGTCCATAACGCTTCTAGAGGACAGCTTAACCGTTAATACGTTTTCACTAGCAAATTAGATTACTAAATATTCTTGGGACTTATGACCTCAATAATTCCTGAGGTATTACGCTCGAAGCCATTTGTTATCGCTAATAACCAGCCAATGGGTCCATTCTTAAAGAATATTTCGTCGTATATTATGTCAAGTGATGACATGAGATGAAGCCAAGATTTGTTTTAATCTCATTTCATCTCGTTCATATTCCACGAGATACACGCTAAATAAGTTTTTCGTCCTATCGTGCAGTTTATTTATCAATCGAATAAACATGGGAAAGTCTCTTTCAGCGTCTTATTACGCGCAATGCAGGTCAAAATTCAATTATTTAGTCTTTGCTCGTTGATGAAAGAATACTAAATGAAAATGGCTCTGGACGTGATAATTAGGTCTATACAGTATCCATATCTTCGAGATATTCTTGCTCGTTATGTCAAAAATATAGTCAATATATATCTATACTGTCTGTATTATGGGAAAATATTTTTCACCACCTCTTTCTCGGTAGTTAATATAAGAGCAGCATCGATCGTGTCGTTGTCTACATTAAAGAACAGTTTTATCACAAAAGAAATGTTCGTTCGATATTGCAACCATTTACAATTCTTATTTGTTATTTGTGGTATCGTTTCATCAGTAAGAATGGCCCGTCCCTCATCTTTTCATGAGGTCTCGACTATCATATATACTGACCGTTCAAACATGAGTATCGCCATTCATCAACATATACAAATCGAATATGAAATGCGTTATATTCATATTTCGCCATTGGCTCTACTTGATACCGATCAAATACTGGTATTGGACTCAGAAGTAACTCACCCATCGATCATGATTCCATTGACTCTTTATACTGATGAACAGATCAAATTTGTTCTGGAAGCGAATGAACGACAATGTAAACATGTTCCAACAAGTTGCTTGTTCTATCAAATCTCCATAGATACTATGCGAATTATATACAAAGACACATGGGATCATTCTAATGTTTTGCATCCTTATCGTGGACATATTGATTTCATCCGACTTGAATTGTGTCCATTGTTAAAAAAGCGTCTAGTATTTGTTAATATTGGTTGTACATCACAAGAAATTTGTTGGAAATTACGTCAAGATTTGCGTCGATCCCGGAAATCGCTCGGCCTATATCTCGACTATTCTGTAAATAACAACGAGTTGCAAGAAATCATAATTAATGATAACCATTTAAGATCAGAAAATATTCATATGTCAAAATTTGTTCTTCTATCGGATGTTGAACAACTGTTACAGAATCTTTTGAACGCTGCCAATTTGCACAGTAACGATACGCATGTTTTATCACAGATTGATTTGTCTTCATTGAAAGAAACGTTACGAGACAATTTATTTGGAAAAACTGTGATTTTAAACGATGACAATAGCGAACAACAATGGAACTCAGTCTATTGGCCCAATAGAACTATGCTGAGACCAGACCGTGTTTGGAAATCATTAAAGAAAAAACATTATTTCTATCTTTCCTGGAACAGAATTGTGATGAATGAAACGACTAGCGATACTTTAATGGATGAATATGTTCAAGAAATGTACGATCAAGAAAGCTTTGATCTCTACACTAAATATCGTCATTTATTCGAACTATGTCAAAGGATCTATGGACACGAGATGGTAATAAAGCGGTCTATGTTGAAACTAAAACCAATATTGGCGTATGAACTAAATCAAATAGCTGCATCAAAGTTTTGGATCCGTCAATCAGTGCACATGATCAAACGTGAACAAGTGTATTCGGTGCCTATTCGTCTTATTTTACCATCACCAGAAGAATCATCAGTAAGCAATACAGTTTCTGGTAAGCTATATTATAGAGTTAAATTCTTTCGTTATATTCTATGTGTTTGCAGGTGCGATGACGGAAACTACCGAATATATAGACGAAACTACTCTTTCGCCAGAATACCAACCAATGGTTCCAGAAGACAAAGATAACGATCCCTCTTTCGCTTTCACTCCAGTCAAAATACTAACAACGTCATTGGAAAATACTTACACAACTGTTGTTGATCAAGAAGCAACAACGTCATCTACAATGACCACGCTGTTTGATGGTAGGACGATTGAGATCGCAAATATTTTCATAGATCAGTTGTATATTTCAAAATTATAAAAAGACGAAATATGTTGACGTCGGGTAGCTTCAATTTTTCTTTCACATCAACAACTGATAATGTTTCACTTGACAGAACGAGATAGATGTTTGGAAGTATTGATAACGAACTATTCTTCTATCATCTGAACTAAAGTAGGCACAACGGATCCGACGACAATGACAACAGAGACAACTGAATCATCGACAGAAACTTTACTACGCGGCAATGCAGGTAAGACTGAATGAAGACAGCGTTTTTTAAGAAATTGACAGACACGATGGGTAATGAATTTTGTTGTTTATGACTCGAAAATAGTATGACAATTGATTGTTCAGATCAACTTGACGTTGCATGCTTTTACAAAATTTGATCGATACACAGTTTGTTGAAATAATCACGAAAAGATATCAGGACAATAACAAACCGTTGAGGATGAAAAAACATATTCTCGATCAGATATCTATACGACGAAATAAATTTACTCTTATATATACGTTTCTGTTTGGTTAGTATTAAAAACAATCCCTGACAATACACGTATTGCTTTGTACTGTCTCGGAGCAAAATTTCGTGTTCTCTCCGCAATTTACCAATCCACCTCAAATGCTTCATTTTGCTCAGAAGACGTTACGAATACTGTTAGACAACTATGTCCAAACGCATGGTACTGCTTAGTGGCTGCTGATAAGACGATCTCGAATGAAATCAAATGCACTTACGCTGAAAAACAACTTCATATCGTTTATACATGTGATGTCGACCGATGTAAGCTTTTCATTCATTCTTAGAAAACATAACATAACATACTTTTTATCATTTTAAGATGTGTTCGGGCCGGTGCTGATCGATCAAGACTCTTCGGGTTACGATATTTACATAAGTAAGTTTCTAAAAGAAAAAAAAAGCTTAGCTTTGCGGAGACGAGCATTTCTCCATTATGAAATCACGAAACTAATGTCAAATATACAAAGCATAGCGCTTAATTCGAACGTTTGCGCTAAGATAAAAACTTCGTTGATATACAAACGTCTGGAAAATACGAAATGAAAACTGACCTTTGTTCATCAGACAGTTGAATAGTTTAAATTAAACCAAGAAAGGCAAACTCTGGCTATTCATAAAGTCTTTTCTACGAAATCAAAATACTGTAATTTCTGAGTCATAAACTACTTTCCTTAATGATGTCATTTTTTGCTATAGATGGAAAGGATTATATTGACGACGTTGAATCAATTGAAGCCTGTGGTATGCGCTGTCTTGAAACAGATCGATGCGTTGGTGTCGTTTACGCCCCAAAGGGAAATCGATGTTGGTTAAAACATACAATAGTGTCGCGTATACAAGTGGGAAATAGAAATTCCATGTCGGTTTACCATCCTCAACGATATCCTGATGAAATAATCGACAATGAATAACAATAATGACATTTTAATTGATAATCTTTTCTCTTCTACGTTTTCAGAATTATGAGTTGAACTATGAAAAGCTTGTAGAGAATAGTTATTGTACAAAAGACATCTGTAAGATGTGTCGCGATTGCTTTTATCGATTATCATACAATGAACTAGTATCGAATAAAAATCATATATTACCAAAACTATTTCACGAAAGTTATGTATAATTTGCAACGGGTTAGATAGAAATTAATTTAGCGAAAATAGTATGTAACGTCATTGATTTATTCGTTATGGAATTCTTTATACCAGTTTGCTCTGTAACCAATATGATCCCAAAAATCGCACTCATCTTTTATATAGTCTTTTCGAACATCGAGCGGATCTTGAAAATATAGATAATATTTATCTGCACTGGGGTTTGGCCATGCTAGAGCTGCTGCATCCGGCTGATTAACATTATGACTCTTGGCAAAATTTGTCCAGTAAGTTGCCATACTTTTAGAAACGCGCCTACCGGCATCAGTAAAATTAATCCATGCTGATTCGAATGTATAAGGCAATTCACCAGCATGACAAACGTGATTATTGCAAAATGTTTCATTTTCCCAACCATCGAAATCAAGTGGAAATCCAAACACATAAGAATACGTAGCAGCTTTACGAGAATAGACACGGGTTGGACATGCAAAAACCCATTCAGTTGCGAGACGAGACATCAAAGCTCGTTGATCACCGGACGATGAAGGTGGATATCGTTCGAATACTTTGGCAGCATTTTCGTGAAAAGTAAAAAGAAGGACTTCCATGTAGAGTGGAACGGAGATTGGTGTTGACCAAGCTTCGTAGATATAGAAGACGGCTTCTTCAGTTAAAGTACCAATAACCATAGGTTTCAATGGGAAACTTGTATTTTGCACAAGATCCATGAGTTGACCTTTGACAATGGAGTTGTCAATTACAGGTACCCACGGTTCAAAAAAGAGCAAGAATTTGAATGACGTTAACATTGAATTAACTTTCGTTTGTGCAATAGTAATGGCTTCATACGTTTGACGACGTAAACAACTAATATCATTAGGAGTACAATTTAGTTGTTCGGCAAGAAGAACACTGGGTGCGATATATTCAGCATATGTTCTAGAGTAAAACTAATTGTCACTATTTTCATGGCTACACTTTTGTCATTACCGAAATGGAATAGCCATTGGAGCGCTCTGAACGATACTTGCTTGAAAATAAGACTGCATTTCGGGGGTAACGTGATGTAAAGCTACTGATTGTGCACCAGCACTTTGTCCAAAGAGTGTGATCTATCAATGATACAACAATTCATATTTTTATCGTTACTAGACGATATCTTTGTTTCTAATACTTGCTGAGGATCTCCTCCAAACGAAGCTATATTTGCTTTTATCCAAGCGATAGCTAATCGCTGATCTAGAATACCGTAATTGCCAACGATATCGTTTGGTCCTGTTCCCGTAGCAAGGAAACCGAGTACACCTACAAGCGATAGAAAATAGTCATTAGGCTATGTTAACATGGATTGTGCATTCATCTTATACCGAGACGGAATTGGATTAAAGCAATGATAACATTAGTAGAATTGACCAGATGTTCTGATTCATAGATGGGGATCGATGCATCTAGATATTGAAAATTACCGCCTGGAATAAAAACCATTACAGGCAAAGGAGTTGATGATGACGAATTTTGTTGTAATGGTGTAAAAATATTCAGATACAGACAGTCTTCCGAGAACTATATAAACCAATATATTCTGCATCATATTACTATACATCCTATATGTTTGTATTTACGCTTGTTGGGCACAAAATTGAAGGAATACCACCACATCGTGGCTGAGGGCATGCTGGAGCGCGTGATGTGGCATTCAACACATCTGGCGCCCAAGCAGAGATTGGAACTGGCGGATTCCATCTGGAATACTCATAAAAATTTATGCCGAAAGTTTCTATGCAGCATCATAGTACCTGAGATTGCCGACAGGTGGTTTCGCAAACGGAATGCCGTAAAAAATACGAGCCGTAGCTGTCTGAACACCAAGAACATCACCATAAGCTGTAGAAACAGTGATGGTTCGGTTAACAGCAGAAGACGGTTTTGGTAGACAACCGATTAGCATGCATGCTAGTAAAATTAAAGGCTTCATCGTCAAACAGCAAACTAGTTCTCGATGTTTATTTGCGTCTATTTTATAATATACGATAATAACTAAGGTACGTTATTTATCACAATGGTTCGATAAGCAACCAGCATTCGTATGTTAGAATTTCACAACATGTTCTTTTCACTTGTGAAATTTAATGTGTCTTCTGTCTTCTCGTCATTCTAACCCAGTTTTTTGTGATAAATAAAGCACAACCTTTTTTATTCCAAAGTTTAAGATATGAAGGTATAGATATTGAAATATGTTGGGTGTGTCAGAGAGACAGCTACCGTTCTACTTACGTATTTATACTTTTTTATCAATAGGATGAAAAATAAATACGGAGCACGTGCTGATGTAGAAAAGAAACAGAACAGCTTCTTTCACCCTTACACGGTGGAGTTGCGTCAGTGCTGTATATGACAACTTAGTAGATTTTCTTGTAAAACCAATATAGAAAATAGAAGGTGAATCTTCTTGTAATTTTAATCGTTTTTCCTTGCATTTAGAAGATAGTCATGCTTGATTCTTCTACAAATTCAACAACGAATGATAAACAACCTGATGAAAAGTATGATTTGCATGTATTTTGCGATGTATAGAGCAGTTGAGTGAGAATGGCTAAAACTTTTGTCCTAGGAAATCTTTCGATACAATTCAGCCCGCTATGTCTAATATGGAAACACCTACAATAGTTATTCTAACTCCAGCCGCCGATGAGCCAATGTTTGCAGACTTTTGGCAATTTAATTTCAATCAGTTAAGTTGCAAGTTTGCTGAATTTGATATACGTGTCATAGGAGCGCCATGGATGACAACACCCTTAGCATCTGATCGATCCCGTTCATTTATTTACATCGCTAATCTGGCATGGGGCTACCACTATCAACCCGACCGTTGGAATGCATGGCTTCGTGATTGGCCCAAAGATATTAGTTTGATCAATTCACCATCGTTACTTCTATGGAATACGCAAAAAACATATTTGCAACACTTACAAAAAGTTGGAGTTCGAACGATTCCTACATTATACGTTGAACATGTGAACGAAGAAGTATTAGTCGATGCAGCGAATCATTTCAATGTATCTGATCTAATTGTTAAGCAACAGATATCCGCGTGTAGTTTCAATATTTTACGTGTACTAGTTGGTAGTGACGACTTTGCATCTGCACCGAGTAAAAGACTACATTTCTAAACGATATCCAATTACTGTCAAATATTCATTCGTTTTTCTCTGTCATAGGATCAATGTGTCCTGCAGAAGCTGTTGCTGAACTCACACGTTTAGACGCTATTCATTCTCCAATGATGATACAACCGTTTATGCCCAGCATTGTTCAGGAAGGTGAAATATCTATATTTATGTTCAATGGAAAAGTTAGTCATGGTGTCAGAAGTAACACACAGCCAGACGATTATCGGGTACAATTCGAACACGGTGGAGTGACAACTGCACAAAAAGAACTTTCAACTGAAATGCTGGAACTGGCTCTCGCTGCCATCAACGCTTGTCCCGAACTACCTGTCTATGCACGTATTGATATGATACGTGATGTTTCAACAGGACATTTCTGTATCATGGAAGTGGAACTCATCGAACCGAATCTCTTTTTAGAACATGCACCTGATGGCGGCACATCATTTGCACGCGCTATTTTACAAGCTAGTGGTTTATTAAATTACAATGAATAAAATAAATAATCGCGAGAATCTGAAGTAAAGGCACATCAATATACGTGTTTGCAACCAATTGCATTCCAATACATGTCAAAACAACATTTATACAATTGCAATTAGTCACTAATGCTGTTATTCAAGCTGAATGAACAGATGAATGTTACATTGCATAAATTCTCATTTGAGATAGAAAAGGACATAGTTCCAGTATATGTAACACTCAATATGATTAATTTATTGACTGTTAGAGTTCAGGAAAAGACAAAAGAAAGATACTATAATCTATATCTATTGAAATTGAGGTTTCATCAGATTTATTAAACCCGAGGAAGAAGAAACGAAACTGAAAGGTCGTGACAGACAGGTATTTCGCCCTCATATATAAGGATCAAGATAAATACAGAAAGAAAATTTATTATTAGGTTAGACTTCGTACAATGGATGAAGTAGAGAGATTATATTTTGTTCAGTTATTGTATCTTCTATCGTTTGACTTCGTTCGAGTGCTCTTATGGTTAGTTTAGTGACATAGGTTTGGATTTAAAGTATGTTTGTGATTCTATGAATGTATGCCGCCGAAGTCCAATGAGGAATATGAAGAGCTGTTCTGAGTGATTTGTCTATTGTACAATCTGTAGTCTTTGCCAAATTTTACTTTTGATGTTCAAAAGAATCGAGCCATATGTCAGTATTAGTCGAATAAGTGGTGTATAAAGATCCAGTATATCGTTTCATTCCGATACTTCAACAATACTCAAGCGTTGCTGGAGTATCACTGTTTTCTCTTTTGATATTGATTGTCATTATTTAAGAGCTTCAAAAAACATTCATACCCTTTTGTTTCTTCAGTGTTTAAAATAGAGCTGATTTCACAAATCGTCGAATCCACAGTCACATATGTTGAGATAAGAATTTATAAGTTAATTCATCTAACTTTCTGCCGAATACGAGCAATTGCTGATTTTAATCTATTTTTTCCTTGATTCTCATCCTTTGGACCTTCTTCAAATGTAGAATTGTGTTGCCCTTGTCAATTAGAACATTTAGTTGATTGCTGCTTTTTATCACAAACGTTGAATCGATTGGGTTCAGCATAGTGAGAACAGATGTGAATTTCGTGCTTACAATATTTCATCATGCGGCTATAACGGTAATACAAATGACATTGTTGGTAATTCGTCTTTTTTTTTATTTTACATTTTCTGCAGGAAAATACATAGGATCAATTTATAGACCAAATTTAGCAAATGTACCGCATTTTCTGGTATCATTAAAAGTAATTTTAATATTTGTTTCGACTCTGTTTTGTTCCTTTGTTTACTAACTGTTCTCTACTTGATTGACTTGATGTCTATTTCGAGCTAAAGCGTTTTGAATATCATCGAGAGCGATATTTTTTTTTGTGTATTTATTTTTTTAAATTTGTTGTGCTGGACGAGGAATAAAAATGTCTGCAGTATCGAATTATTTCTCCCTAGGTAATCCAGTGAATAACACATTAAATGAGACTATAGTTGAAGAGTATATGGTAAAGTTTCGACTTTTGTCGTTGTATATCATGTTTTTGTATTTTAAATCAGGGTTTTGTTCACTAGAAAGATTAACTTCTTCTTAGATCAATGGTGGAATTTCATAATTTTACTTCGTGTTCAATGCTGGAGACTTTCTGTTTGAATTCGATTGTTGTTTATAGACGGTTGTCACTGATTATTTTGTAGAAATTGACACTTTTTAGTTCGTTATTTTTCGTGACTGTTCAAGTTGAATATTTTTTATTATCGTTTGATTATTCATATTGATCAGACTACATTTAATCGAGTGGCAAACGTCACCTGCAAGCACACGCGATTTGTTAATATGCACGTGAAATAAAACGACGCAATTGAAAGATGAAAGAAGAAAGATAGGGAAACGCCTATGACGAATAGCTGTGTAGAGCAAAGAGTGATATTTATTGCTTAATATGGGGTATACGCATAGTTTCTTTTGCGTCGATTAGTGAGAAAAGTATAATAGCATCAAATCTCAAAGCTTACAATTCTCATTCTATAGTTCGTTGATGCCTGAATTTAATTCTTCTCATCCAAAACTGAGTGGCACACATATACCTGACTATATCATAAGATTTTATACCAATTTCATCCGCAGTCTTTTTATTTTAATTATATTTCTACAAAAAAACCATGTTAGATATGAACAGTTTTCACTATGGTATCACTAAGATCAGTATGAATACTCATGTATATTATCCATTATCGTCATGCAATGAACTATTTTCTAATGAGAAAAAAAGAAAAGTGAAAGAAGTTCAGATAAAAGATGATTATCTTTCTTCTTCTGTCGGAGGTTGATGATTCACGATATTTGCAATTTTCTCGATAGTATATATTAGTCCTGATTTCAATGCGTCTGTTGGCGTGGATGTCATGCCATGTTGTCGCTCGAATGCATCATTAATCATACGCGCATCAATAGCCAAACGAAACACCATTGTCGTGTCTAATGAGTCACTAAGTACAATAGGTACGGGTTGTCCAATAACGCATCTTATTGGATGAACATCTGTTGGACGTTGCAATTTGATGTACAAATCTTTGCTTGCTTCTTGATCGAGAAAGGTTTTATCTAATCGACGAACACGAAATGGAAAGATGGTCGGATGACGAAATTCCGCGTCATTTTCATCGAAAAAGGAACTTCTTTCAATATTTTCAACCGGTTGAAGTAAATCTGGAAACGTAGCAAATACAGCTCGAATTTCAGCACCAGCTGCTACAATAAACTGTTCTCGCCATTCCAAAGGTATACTTAAATAACGACGTAGTTCAAAGACAGCTGCTGTCAATCTTAAGAAGTGACCAACGTTTGATTGCCATACTACCGATGAATATTTTGCCACGCATTCGCGAACATTTCTCCAAGATCGAGGCCAATCTGAAATAGCTGAATATGCGGCGAGTTCACTAGACATGTATCTATCAACGGGAGCATTTTGAATTTGAGTACGAAAACGAGCAGGAACCAGAATGGCACCGCTGAACGGTGGACCAGTAAGAAATTTTGAACCAGTGAGAGTAATAAATCGATCACGAATGATATGTTCACGTACACGCCATGGTGATATACGAAATTGGCATGCATCAATAAGGACAGTTAATAGATCCTTGGTGTATTTTTTTTCTATACGATCGATACAATCATTGCTAGGCGTTCTGTTACCTAGTTTCGATGTGTCAATAGCGTGTAGAAAAATGTGTATATCTTCATTGCCATGTATAAGTTCATTGACACATTGCTCGATGAATGCTTCATCGCGACATTTTTCATAAGAAAGATCGACACATTGAATACTAGTATTCCCATTCGATCCATGTAGACACGCGATGGGCGTACCTTTATTGATATCTTCGCCGCGAATATTTTTCGTATTGAAATGACAACCAGAAGCAGCATTTATAACACGTCCTGCTGCTTCGTCAGCAGCAAGAACTAGATTCGTTAATATTGTTGTTGATCTTGGTAAACATAGTTTGGCAAGAAAAACCGACTGAAGTGTTGCATCAGTTCCCGATGGGACAAAAACAATATCAACATCAGCTGATGCCAATCCGAAATAGTCAAGTAACTCTTGCCGGAGTTCTTCCATTTTCGTATCCATAGTATTATCATCGTTGATCTTATTTAGATTGTTCATCATCTCGGTAAGATGAATGAAAGCGCCGGTGGAAATAGGAGTCGCCGTCGATGATGACAAATAAATTGAACTCGTTGGATTTGTTGGACCTAACGGACAACCATACATATTCAAACCAGTTGACGAGTCAATCAATAGACGTTCATCGCCTCCTGAACTTAACAATCGATGAAGTTCATTTGATGAAATGCTTTCCTTGGTTTTAATCAGTACATTTGCTTGTACGTCATGTGACGGTCTATTACTTATTATGTACTTACAGTCATCCATCGCGATACACTACTCAACTGAGAGAAAAAATTATAAATGTATAATGAATACTGTATCTTATGAAAACAGCTTTATATATCTGTTTAATTTGATGACTCTAATTTTGCATGTTATTATGCGACAGGATGGTTATGACGTTTAATTTTTTTCTCGTTTTTTTATCACTTGAAGGAGAACGTAAGGAAAAGGTTTTCTTGCTTGCGAATATTTTTAAGTACAAGGATATTTTTTTGTGAATCGATGCAATTATATCCGTAGCCAGACGTATTTTGCATTTGTCCTCAGTTTAGCATGTGATAGTACTTTTTATTTACTTGTCGTCGATAAAAATTTATTCGCGCAGTACATTTGTTTTTTTCAACGATTTCGATACTAGAACATAAACGAAAAGAAACTTAACAGCAAATTAAAAGAATAAAAAGAACTCATTGACGAACTGAAAGTAAATGTACAAGTTCACGCCGAAATAGTTGACTTGATAATGTGCATAAGTAAAAACTCATACATGGACTGAGTAAACCAATGAATGAGAGAACATTTCCTGTTAAACCTTGCACAGCTAATGACAATGGATCTTTACGTAAATTACTATCAATCACATTATACATGCCACCGATAGCACCGGCAGCTGATGTTGTACCAAAAAGAATAGATTGAACGAGTGTGATTTGAACTAACTGTCTATCGACATGTTTGATACGTTTTTGTCGTCGGTTGATCATATCGTGATCGAATGCTCGTTGTGCTGACTTTTGAATATTACGAATGGTAAGAAGACCGAAGATAAGCATCGCTAACGATGGAATTAAACTCCAAATAATCAACAGAAATATTCCATTGAGCTTTTGAAACGAATTTGGCTGACCGAGACATATCATAGGATCTTGATGAATCGTGTAGAAAATCAGGATTGGAATTTGTGTTATACCAATGAATACAGTCACACAAAAGATCAAACACGATGAAACGGGTAAAGTACTCCAACGACGAAGTGTAACCGATGATGAACTGCACAAATATCTAGAACGAAATGAGAAAGCAAACAGGTCATATCCATTCTTTATTCTAAGGATTTACCGATCGAGAGAAGCTAAAGCAATAAACCAGCAAGGTAATATTCTGTTGGAAAACAAACATTTTGTATTTGTTTGAGTCTATTGAATAAGTCACATACCTGAACCAAGAGAAGAGAAAAGTTAATGTTTTACATAAGATTTCCGATGGGATAAATAAACTCCAATTGTATCCGAATTGTAAAAGACGCACAGGAAGAATACCAAAAATGATGAAGTAACCAGCAACAGCCGATGCTAGAAGATATCTAACACATGGATTGAATCGAAGTGAACGTCGAGTAAATACACAAATATTCAATGTATGTCCAATGAGACCAACAATAAACATGCCTATACACCAATAGCGAGTGAACAAGATTGATCTCATTTTAACAGTTGCCAGCAGATAAGTGATATTATCCATAGTCATATTCATCGAAGTAGAAGACATCTGAAATCAGTAAAAGAGACAGTACGATGTGTGAAAACTCTACGAATAAGATAAAATTTGTGCGTGTTTTTTTTCCGGTATGCCAATAAGCTACTGAGTATATCAAAGACTTTTTTGTTACCATAATGAATGCTACAAGGGCATAGTGTGAAATAACTGATCCTTCCTGTAGTTCTTTTAAAAAGACAGATGAATATTAATTGTATAATTCAACGGAAACTAAAAGAAGAAAAGGGCAACATTGAGGTCTGTTACTTGCAACATTGCCAATTAAATTTTTCTTTCCTCGTGTAAGAGAGTCTGCGGTTTTTATACAACTAAAGAACACTTGAACACGAAATAAATCGTATGACTTTTTGCAAAAACAACCGTTCGATCATCCGTTATCTCGAATATAACAAATGAAAAACAAATGCGTGACGAAGGAAAATTTAAGTATAACATATGTATAGAGAGAAAAGGAGAATCGATGCGAGCCCTAGAAAGAATAATGCACATAATATGTACATATAAAACGAAAAAAACATCACGCGCGAATAGAATAAGGAGATAAACGACCTGACCCAAATATACAATACATACGAAAAGTGAGCTAAGAAGAAAAACATATTTCACAAAAAAAATGATTGTTTCAATAGATGACTGATACTTTTAGTATGACTCATCATTCGTCTCTATAATTGTTGTAGTATTTCGCTTCGATAGAAGAAGAAATTATTGATACTTGACAATATGTTGAGGGAAAATATTTTACAGTCAATCACGAAGTACAGAGAAGGATTAGATTCTTTTCAATCAAGAATGTCATATCTTTGAAGTAACAATAAGCTTTTATCATCACCTGTCGACAAGCAATACATTATGTAGTGTAGAATTTTGAAATTAATCGTTTTCATCGAAAGATGTTGGTGGTTTGTGATTATCTGCGATGAACAATCGAACAATATTTGTTGTTGGTATAGTTCTAATCGACACGATTTACTTCCATCTTATGAAGATTTTACGAGTGTGAACTTTGACAAAACATAACGTGCCATACGTATAGTGAATGAGTACAAACATCTGTTGATGGTTTATATCAACTTTTTGGCATTGACACATTAGTCGCTCGGTAAATAACTCTCTATTTTACGACAATTAAGTTTTTTCCGATTAGTCAAAAAGAATTTTTCACCACGGCATATGATAACTATGTTTCCATATGAAAGTGCGCGCTTTGACAAACTTACATGTCTGAGCTATTATAAACATAATAAATATCCAAGTGATACTCCTATAGTAGAAATTCGTTGATGTGAGGGAATACATCCTATTCCGTAATGTTGCACATTTGGGAATCAGTTCCGCACACGGAATCAGTTCCTACGATTCCGGAATTAATCCGAAGCAATTCCGGAATTCCGTAGGCGAAACTGGTTCCCAAATGTTCAACATTGCGGAATAGGATGACTGCTCGTAACAACTGAAGTAACGAGTCAATTTCAGTCTGCAACACCAAATTCTTAACACTGACTCTGATTCATCAATTCCAGTAACGAGTGTTACTGATTCTGATTCCCAAGGTCTTTCCATGTGTAATGATAATGATACTATTGCTCAATGTCCTATAGAATCTGGTATATATTACTATGTTAAGTATCATCTATTAATATTACTTCGATTTTGTAGATACTTCTATTATGAATAATGATGAAAATGTTCAAAATTTATCTTCTACTACGTCTACTCCTAAACATAAAAAGTTCGAGATGAAGCGGAAGCCGATTATCTAAAATCTATTGCTAAACGACAAAAGCTATATGATAATACTATTAAAGAACAAAAATATGAGTTATGAGATCTTGTTGGTCTCCAAGTTGATCGTACTAATACAAAATCCAAGATTTTACCTTGCAAAGTGATCGCCATGGAGTCATCATCAAATGATTGTATGCTGTACAAGCTGTGTACAATGAAAGGTGTTCTAGCAATTCGATATGGTGTTCAAGATCTTTTAGATCTGAGAAGATGTGATTTTGCGGATTTACGTAGTATTGATTCAACAAATCTAGCAATAATGGCATTTACGCAAGCATGTAAAGATTAGATATCAACGGGAACAATTGAAGTTGCAAAAACATGTAACTGTAGCGGTAAATGTGCCACAAAATCATGTCCGTGCAAAGCAAAAGGTGTTAAATGTTGCACGAAGTCCCAGGTCGAAGAATCCAATACTCAGATCTCGTCGAATCCGAAACATGAATTTCCTGGATTTTATAAGGGTCATTATAGAACATAGCTAAAAAAATGGCTCATAAAATTTGCAACAACCGACGGGATTTTTCTAGTTGGATTCCAATGCAATTTCGTTTCCAGGAATCCGATAGGATTTTGTCGGATGGTCGGATCCAGCGTCGGATTTGTTGACCTGGGGTGTCATCCCAAAAAGAAGTGTCCATGTGCAAACGTTTAGTTATTTTTCTAAGTCATTTGTATTATTTCTTACTAGATTATAAAGTCTTGATACTATAGTTGTTAAAGATCAAACAGGTTTTCAAGGTAATAAAACATGAAGAAATAGATTTAAAGATAAACTTGTTTCTGCTAGGGGAATTTAAAATTCCCCTATACGGGAAATCAAAATTTTAATTTCCCCTGTAACATATATAGAGATAGTAGATAAGCTCAAATTGGACCGGATAATTCAGCACACAAGTTCAGTTTTCCAGGCAATACAAACTGAAAAAAATAATTTTCTCTCTTCTGATTTTCGTATCTTTCGATGTTAAATGTTATCTATTAGTTGACTTCAAGTCAGAAATAGATAAGCAAATAGTTGAGAAAAAAAATACATTTACTTTTTCTGATAACGAAGCAAGTCATTCTATTTGTCTTCTATTTATGCAGTTTTCATTATCTACACAAATGCATTCTTATCTATTTGGAAGATCAAGAACATTAAACATTCGTCATAAATAAAAGGTACAAACTCATCACCTTCCCTTAGATTTCAAATTCTCTCGTACCAGACCGAAGCTTTTCACATGCATTTACTTTTCATGACTGTTCTTTTAGCGCTTAATGGTGCTAACGCATTTGTTAACAAGCAAAAAGTAAACACAACGGAACTGGTGAATTCCTTAATATGATGTGTTGTTGTCTTATTTTCGTAGGAACTCCGAGTTACAGCTTTTTCATGGCAAAACTGCGGACCAAGTAGCGATCCAATTCAAATTAAATCACTTTCAGTCAGTCCAGATCCAATTTTAGTACCTGGTACAAATACTTTATTGAGAAATATTGAAGTTTTTATATTTCTATTCTACAGGCAATCTGACTCTTAGTCTCACTGTTAATGTTGCATCGACAATTACAAACGATACTCATGTACGTAGAACTGAAATCTGAAAACAAAGTCTCCAGTTCATCCGTTCATTTCAGGCTGCAGTGGCCATGGAACGAAAAGTGGGCGGCGTCTTTGTTAAAGTTCCATGTGTTGATAACTTTGGCTCCTGCACTTATGAAGATCTCTGCAAAGATTGGGCCTCAGCTTGTCCGAAATACTTTGAAAAGTATGGTGTTCCCTGCAGCTGCCCAATTCCTCCTAAGACTTATACCATATCCGATGCTGTTATCGGCATCAACGGACATTTACCATCTGTAGGCGGCGGTGAATATCGAATAACTGCCAATCTTCTTTCGAGTAAAGCTCATCTTGGCTGTATTAAACTTCAAGTTACTCTTAAAAAGGATTAATACAAAGTGTAATTCTGTTCGAGAAAGTTTTTTTCATGTGTTTTTTTTTTTCGTTCTTATAAACAATAAAAAATGAATGATCCATTTTCATAGATAAATCTTATCTGACGGATTGACTTTGTGTCCTCCTCGTAGATCTACATACTTCAAAGTTAGTTACATATTTCTCAGTATAAAATAATATTTTTGCTATGCGCCTGCTATCTCCCATTTCTTCACTTCAATTTAACAGATATCAATATGCTTGTCTTCGAAGATACACATATCAAAGATTCCTATAATAAATTACTTTTCGCTCTCTCTTCGTTCTGTATTATGTACAATCAGACACGTAGTCATGCTCATCCGACACCCACATATGTGCCAACCTTCATGCAAATACCATTGTCGAATCTGTATATTAGAAGCATTGTATTCTTCGTTTCATTTTCAAGCTCATCGCAAAGAAGAATAACAATATCAGACATTATTGATTCGCACAATGGTAAGTGTCTTTTGCTTATGCAATGACTTTTGATTGTATCAGACATGGGCAAGTCAAGTTAATTTTCGACTTGACTCAAGTCAAGTCAAGTCACAAGTCACTTGACTTGACCTGATCCGGAATATTTTTCAAGTGAGAGTGACTTGACTTGACTTGATTCGATTCAAGTCCAAAAATGACTTGACTTGACTTGGTTTTTAGTGCATGATCAAGTCACAAATTAAGTTCAAAACTCTTCATGTACGTATATGCAAGTGTTTTATGTATTTCGGTTTTAATCTCGAGCATAATGTGTTAAAAATTTCAAATTAAGAGTGACAGATACATTTAGAAAAAGGAATTCATATCAAAGATTCGCAAGTCAAACAATAGCGGAGCTAGGATTTGAGCTATAGGTGGGACTCTGTCTCACAACTGTTTCACTCGATCCTGGGAAATAATGATTTTAACCTACCAGAAGTGTCAGTTAGATATCAAAGCGTGGTGTCGCTACAGAGAACTTCTCTAAAAAGGCAAAAAGAAGATCAAAAAACCTTGTACTCCGCTCCTACGTTGGTGCCGATCCATAGAAAACCGGATTTGTCAAATTATTTATGTAAGCGTGCGTTCAACTAGCCTTCTGAGCTCCGCCATTGAATTCAAGTCCATTTTTTACTAGAATTGAGTCAAATCCAATGACTTGTGACTTGACTTGAATTATAACTTGGACTTGAAGATTTTTAGATATGCTCTGACTTGACTTGACTTGCAGTTTTCAGATAACGACTATGACTCGACTTGACTTGACTTGAAGTCTTGAGATAATGTTTTTGACTTGACTTGGGTCAGAAAGCCGATGACTTGCCCATGTCTGGATTGTATTTCGAAATAATTCAACAAACTATCGTTTAGTTTTACTTGACATTTGATTTATTCTTCAGCACGACTCGATATCTTCTTGAGAACATAGAAACGCTCAACACTAGCATTCTAGTCACTCTTACATAACTACTATCGATGCTGAAAGATAATAAAAAATCGTCTGTGATTTTCTTCTAATACTAGCTATTAACATGGATGTCACATTTTTCTTCATTAGCTATGCATACATCGATCGTCTATCATTGAAGAGTATTATTTTTGAATTTTTGCTGATTATGCATTAGTTAAAATTTTGAATGATTTGATCATGACGTATTTAACTACAAGTAATGCGGCCTAGTAGCCGCTAGACCCTCTACTGAAAGGATAATATTAGAGTTAGAGCGCTACTATTCGTCCAAAGAGAGAAAAAAGTTATTTCAGTTGAACGATCTGATCATTTGATAATTTGTCAGAATGTTTTACTTAGACCAGTTTCGCTTCCTGAAATCTTCTGAAATTATAACGCCTAGTCGTTGGTCGGCTTCTCTCCGGTCGACCACTCACGGCTAGCCGTTGGTGCCTAATAAGTGTTTAAAGATGTTTTCATATTAAAAAGCACTTCGTTCTTGTTGAGTCCGTCTCTATCAAAGTTGCCGAAATTCTTCACAACTTCGTGACCTACAGTATATCTTTTATGGCCATTTTTAGTTGAATAAGTTGGTGATCTACATAGTTTCTTCTCAAAGCTCAAAAAGACGTCGTATATATATATATGCCTTAGAAAAATGATGGACACTATGCGATAGTCTTTTAAATCTCACTTTTCAACTAATTTTCAAAAGAAGCATCTAGTCGTTCGTCGGCCTCCCTTCGGTCGGCTACTCACGGCTAGCTGTTCCCATGTGTACTCATTTTACTATCTTAACTTCACTCGGAGGAAGATGCCTTCCGAAAATGAGCTCATTTCGGAAAATGAATTCATAATCAGAAACTTAGAAGCTTTACATAGGTATATGATTGTTCGGAAAACGTTTCAATCTTCTCTCCACCACGAGGAACCTTAAATACGTGCCAGCTATGTTCGTGCAGAGCAACGATTAATTTCTGACCAAGAAATCTTAAAGCTCTATAAAAATTACAAAATGTGTCCTTGAAAATATTATTCTGCAAATCGACGACTAGTCGCTCGTTGGCCACTCGCGGCTAGCCGTTACGTGTACATTTTCAGTCTTCCATTTAGTCTAGAGCCACTTTTGAAACTAATCCGTTCATTCTTCTCTATTCCTTCTTTAAAAGTCACCCTCTTTGTGCTACTGTGACTCTCGAAGACAACATTTGACCAGCGAAACATTATTTTGAATGACTAGCATCAGATGATATTCGTATAGTATAGCTATTTATAAAAGTGTGTGATCTCATTAATATGCTGATGACTATGGAGATCCAGCGATCGGATGTCAGTCAGCTATTACATTTTGTTCTACATATTGCCGCTTAAAGCACTATTGTCTAAAAAAATTGATCCTTTGTCGCAAAAAAGGCCAGAAAGTGTTCATGAAAAAACTAACACCGGATTCGGATTCCTCGACCCCGATTACCCTCCAGTCAACCCTTACTCGTGTGATCTACTTTAGCATTAAAAGTATAACAGACACCGTATACAGGAGATACGAATTGAATGAAATCATTTACAGAACAATTCATACCATTAAAGATACATTTGATCAACATTGATTCGAGTGGATAGTAGAAATCAGTGACAGACTCATTTCGATTCAGTTTATAGATTAGAAAATCACGAATATAACGTGCTTGTTGGAAGGAAAATTCCGTGGTATCATTTGTATGTGTTAAATTCAATGAGTTAGTATAATTTAAAAATGATCCAATGAATGAATCGTACACAAATGGAGAATTATTGCAGATAGTCACTGCCGGAAAGTTTTGTGGCCATTCGTCATAGAAACTCACCGATGTTTGTGTAGGATAATTGAAATAGGCGATAATCGATTGAACAACAAAGTATAACATAATACCGGTGAAGATCAGANTTAACAACTATGCGAATCGTTTTCTAGTGGGAAAATTTTTACCTATTTGTATAACGTGTATTTTCGGAGTTTTGGCACTTTATAATATAAAAAATATCGCACGTCGTGCACTAGAGAAACATCCGCAATGTTGCACATTTGGGAATCGATTCCGTAGGCGGAACTGGTTCCCAAATGTTCAACATTGCGGAATAGGATGACCGCTCGTTTTGAAGTGAATGAGTGATATTTAAAATATTCTTTTTCTATATTTAATCAAGATTTTTTGAAAATTAATAAAATGAAACATGAAGAACTTCTGATTATGGAATAACTTTCATTTGTTTTAATCGATCGAAACATTGAATATAAGCATCGGCAGTGTCAACTGTCGTCGTCCATCCATACTTTCTCGCTTTGCTCAAATCGCCTTCAGTATTGTATGGAACATTAAGAAGAAAATCTGGAAAATAGACGATAGAACTTTACTAGCAAGTATTTTGGTTTTTAAACTTACTAGAGAACATCCATGTCGCATAATCAAACGATCCTTGATCAAGATTATGGCGTTGAACAACTCCATCCCAGATTGCTCTATTTTGTTTCATGTATTCAAACAAAACCAGTTGCGGCGCCATCTTATTCTCGGAAAACTTTTGTTCGTGATGCGCAAAGCCAAAATATCTAGAAGATAGTCTTCGATAAAGAATCATTGATGCATGACTTTTGCTCTATACTTTTCGAATTTTGGCCACAGTATTCGAAATTGAACCTTATCACCATCGTGTATATTGAATATTTCATTTGCCGTATGATCATTAGTTGCTGCCCATAATTGAAATCGTGCATTATTCAATGAACTCGAATGATCGAGAACAATATTCCAAGCAAGTTCATGTCCGGGAAAAATCAATGGTTCACCTTTTTCTTTTTGCACACTTGCATAGATTGCCAAACTCACAGCAAAATTCATAAAATTTCCTATGAAATATATAGTAGAACAAAGAATTCTTTGCAAAAAGTATATCCTTACCTTTCGACACTCCAATAATTAAATTCGGACGTGTAATAGTATAATTCCATTTGTTTTTCTGTGCATACTCTTTAATAAGATCTTCTTGAGTATAGTAAAAATTCACCCCTTCATGACGAGGTGCGTCCTCAACAAACGGCTGTGCAGCCATATGTTGTGGTCCTTTATGTACGCCATAGTACTACGTTTAGGAAGAATACCAGTGAATTCAATCAAACTAGTCATTCATGTTTTTCCTTACTTTATATCCCGTTTGTAATGACACACATTTCACATTTTCACCAGCTATTTTTGCGGTTGCATCAAGTGCTTTCTGTAAGAGTGCCTTATTAACACGATCCTGTTCGGTTTCATCCATTTTCGAAATATATGCATAATGAAACATATGCGTAATTGTACGTCCGTCGGCTTTAATCAACTCATCGACAATATCGTCAACACTAGCTTCCATAACATCAATTGAAATGAAATGAATACGATCATCTGTAAGATTGATTTGCATTGGTCGTCGAGATATGCATATAATTTTACTGAATTCACTATAGGATTGTTCGATAAGCGTATCGATCATTCCTATACCAGATATCCCGTTGGCGCCCCATACACAAGCGACATTGGTTGTCGATGATGCACTTACACTCATTTGTTATCGGTGCGTTGTTCTTATGTCTTGTTTCGTCTTGTCGAAATAGAACGAAAAGAGCGAAAGATAAGATAAAAATAACTATACGAAATAAAACAGAAATGCCGCCTGTTAGAGTTATTTTTGAATAAAGAAAACGGAAAATGCCCGGGAGATTAATACTTGCCAACGATCAAATCCTTTCACGATAAACACTACCATATACGTGTGATGGGACAACTAAAGAAAAGCAGTGATAGCACCGAACGTCTATCTACAAAAATCTGCTATGTGTGATAAGCTCATGTTAATGTGAATTGATATGATCAAAAGAATAAAGGCAGATAAGCACGAATTGATCACACATTCTACATACTGAAATTGTCAGTCAATAATGCAAGCGTTAAAGATATGTAGCAAACAAGAGAAATTAAGAACAAAAGACACCGTGATCACCGATATAAAGGCATCTATTGGGTACAGTAGACTATTTTACTTTTTTGTCTTGCCTTGTTAAATTTCAAAACTAAGTTCGATTATTCCACCATTCAACTTTTCCAATACTTATTTAAATCCACGTTTTATTCTACTTTCAGTGCCCTTCTCGTTCATGATACGGATAAGCAACACACACATGTCAAGCCTAGCTGATGTAGGAAAAAAGTCCTTTTAACTAATTTATTATGCATAAAAAGATAAATTTTACATAGAGATTATGCCAGCATCAATCATAACATACATTACACTTCGTCCGAACTCAATCGTTGTATAATTGAATCTAACTTCTGACGATCTTGATATGTAATTGTTGTGCATTGTGCATAGATAGTCGATGCTCGCTGGTAATATTCCAGCGCAATCCTATATTGTTTTAAGTATTCGTAACAAGTTCCAATATTAAATAAACTTTTGCCTAAATCTTGATGATCAGACGGAAGATTTTCTTCACGTATAAAGAAACACTTTAATTCATAAACTAATGCAAGTTTATACTCATTTCGTGCGCGTTGTACTTCACTCAAATATGAAAGTGTATCGAGTATTGCTGAATGGTTAGAACTGAAATTAACCTCCCTGATCTGTAACGATTTTTCATAGTACTCGATTGCTTGTTCATAATTCAACTTAATAAAACAAATAAAACCAATCCATTGTAAATAACGTGCAATTNCATTTCGTGCGCGTTGTACTTCACTCAAATATGAAAGTGTATCGAGTATTGCTGAATGGTCGGAACTGAAATTAACTTCCCTGATCTGTAACGATTTTTCATAGTACTCGATTGCTTGTTCATAATTCAACTTAATAAAACAAATAAAACCAATCCATTGTAAATAACGTGCAATTTGATTATGATTATTTGGATAATGTTCTTCATAAATGCTCAATGCTAGTTTATACGAGTCAAACGATTCGTCATATTTACCTTGACGACTTAAACTACTTCCAATAAAACTAAGTATATTGGCAATGTTTGAATGATGTGATGGATAGTACTTATCGTAAATATCTAACTGTTTACGATAATAATCGACAGCTTCGTCATATCTTCCTTGACTGTTACGAATATTCCCCATATAGTGAAAACTATCAGCAATATTCATATACCCAAGGGGATAATGTTGTTGTCGAATATCTAACGCGCGTTGCTCATATTCAAATGCTTGATCGTATTTTTCTTGATGGTTCAAGCTCGTACCTATATTACTAAGAATTGTAGCGATGTCGGAGTATCGAAACGACGAATTTGTTTCATAGATATGCAATGCTTTTTTGTAGAAATCAATTGCTGCATTGTATTTGCCCTCGCTACTACGAATATTTCCCATATAGTTCAAACTCAATGCCATATGTGCATTGTCTGAATCGTAATATTTCTTCTGAATTTGCAGAGCTTTCTCGTGATGTTGAAAAGCTTCATCGCATTTACCGAGACGATATAATATTTTACCAATATCATTGAGACTCGTTGCGTAACTAATATGTTCCGACGAATGATAGGTTTCATAGATTTTCATAGCACGTCGATGATAATCAAGGGCTTCGTCGTTGTTCTTTTGATTACTCAAAATATTGCCAATATTACTTAACGTATGTGCAATATTAACATTATCCGATGAATAATACGTCTTTTGCATGTCCAATGCTTGTCGATAGTAAATCAGCGCATCGGAAAACTTTCGCTGTTTATTCAAATTATCACCAATATAATTGAGATTAATGGCTAAATGTCCTGAATATGTGGGATAGTATATTTCTAACATTGTCAAAGCTCGTCGATGATGATCAAGTGCTTCTTCGTATAAACGTTTTCCTCGAGAGAAGATATAACCAATATTATTCAAAATACAAACGTTATCTAAATGATCAGCTAACTGGTATTTTTCTTGCATGATCAATACTTGCTGATATAACTCTAAAGCTAAGTCATAGTTTCCTTGCCCATATGTTATATTTCCAATATTACTCAAACTTGTTGCTATATCGATGTGACCACGTGGATAAAATTTCTTTTGAATTAAAATTGCACGTTGAACTAATTCGAGTGCATCATCATGCTTTTTCTTCAAATAGAGAATATTTCCCATACTATTGTAAGTTAACGCTAGATAGATATGATCGAATGGATAATATTTTTCATAGATCGATTTTGCTTCGTGGTGATAATTCAAAGCTTCATCGTATTTACCTTGATCAATCAGAACATACCCAATATTTCTTACATTCGTTGCAATATCAATATGAAACGAATGAAAATATTTTTGACGGATCACTAATGCTTGTCGAAGATAATTCAATGCTTCATTGTATTTCAATTGTTGATAATGAACAAGACCAAGATTTTCCAAACTGGTGGCAATGTGTGGATGATCGAGTGACGAATGAATTTTCTTCCGTATAGACAATGCATTTTGATGATACTCATAGGCTTGTTCATATTTGCCTTGTAAATGTAATACTTCACCTATATCTGATAGGACACATGCCGAATTATACGAAGAATCTGGTTGACTGCTCAGTACTTGGTCATAAAATTTTCTTGCCTGAATCCAATCTCCTTTCCATCGATGAACTTGGCCAAGGCAGTGTTGAATTGAAGATGAATCTTCCTCATGAAAGTCATTCAATAAATTTTCAAAATATGCTTGCGATTGATCCCATTGACACTGATCGCAAATCAATCGTCCGAAAATAACTGGAGTTGATAGATTTTCGAATAAGGCACGTGTATCATAAAGATACTTTTTGATTAATTCTCGTCCATGCTTGACAACATCCATTTCTATTATCCAAACATTATCCTCTTGAAAAATCTTTTCCAGGTGAAATGTTGTATTAAAATGAAACAGGATTTGCTTTTCTTTCGATAGGCAGATTTCAGCGAAAGTCGCGTAGTCTTTTGTTTCCTGTATATTACATTGAATTCGGAAAAGGACAGGAATGGAATCATCCAATCTGGAGAATTGTCGACTTATGAATGGCCGTGAATAGGAGCATATGAGGAATTTTTTCATGGACATCAGTTGGCCTTGATTATTGATGAATTTATCGAAATCATTTTTCGTTAAATTCATTCGATGATAAACAATTAGGACATCAGTATTCGATTGTACGTATTGCTGATGTCGAGTATCGAGACATTGGATTAAATCACCGAGAAAATATCTTATGGTGTAAAGTTCTTTGGTATTTTGTGTTTGTAGAGCGGTATCAATGAGTTTTCGGAGAAAAAAATTATTTAAATACCAATCTAAAGCGTCATCTGATTGATATTTTCTTTTGAACTCATTTATAAATGCCGATAGACGATACGCATGCAGAAGCTGTTGTTTTGCATATTCGTTTCGAGATAATTGTAAAATCACATCATGTAATAATTGAATCCAAAGAAAAGCACTGGAAAATTTTGATAAATCTTTGGTGGAATATTCGTTGTGATCGAAAAAGGTCCAAACATGAGACAGTCGATGAATAAAACTTAATTGATCGGCAATAGACGCATAAAGTGAATCGGAATCCGTATAAAATCCAATTATTTTCGGATATTGAAGAAACAAATATTCGGATTGATCTTTTTCGGAACAAAATATAAATATACAATGAATTTGTTCTAACGTATCAAGATAAGGTAGGATATGAAAGGCGTGCGAATTGGAAATAATTAGAAAGAACTTCTCGTCTTTATGCGATTGAATAAAACTCAAACATGTGTCTAACTTCGTTTGAAAAACAACATGATTCGTCAGATGATACAGACGTCTTTTCCATGCTTCAGTTTGATGATCAGAAGAAAAGGAAATAAGTGTAATCTTTGATAGTAATGTTGACATATTACCAAGAACAATTCATGTTAGAAACTAGAAAAAAAGAAATCAAGGACGGGTTCGTTCTTATATTAATTGGATTGTTGATAATTGTTATTCGATCTAATGTTTTGGAAAATACAAGTCAATTTGAGAACGTCTGCTTTTCTAACTGTTGTTGATTTGTTATTTAAATAAATAAAAAATATCGAAGATAAAAAAAACAACTTACAAGCAAATTATTGAAGTTACAGATGAGAATATGTATATACTTGATCATCATTTACCTATCTCACCTTGATATAATTGAAAATAAACGTGCTCGATTTTTTTTCTTCATTTCTAATCAACACGTTTAATAATATGCAGAAAGAGAAGCATCACCTTTACATGACAACAACAATATCATGCACATAAAAAGAAAACTACGCTTTTTTTTCATCGTTCTGCTTATTTTATCATCGGTTACTCTGCCGGATAGTCTGCTGATGAGTGAACAAATCATTCGACACGAAAGACAAATGATTTTGGTTGGAGATCTTTCTCAGGATGTAAATAGATCTTACCAATTGAGCCTAATGATATTAATCGTATGTTTGTCTGCAATACGAATTCAAATAAAGCCTTTATCTCATGTTCTTCATAATCTGAGTCATCTCCCGTCAGCTCGACGACACCGGCTGGCGTCGGGATCGAAACGCTATTTTGGTCGAGGAATTTATTATTTTGTTACTCGATTTATTACTTACGTATCTTATAATTATGAAAATAATATATAATACTCCAATACATAACAGTAATATAGTTTTCTTTTCACCACTCATGATATGAACTGTGCTTTCATCTCTACATTGAATTGTTTGGATACATCTTTTGACTTATCGTCACACTGAAAAATAAGGAGTCTAGTTATAATGTGGCATAGCGGATTAAGACAAAATTGAAATGTGACGACTTTTTAGTTGACTATTTTCACAGTATTGAAAGAGAAAAATGAATCCATCGTTTTCTTTTCTCGTTCGTTCGAAAGAAAGAAGTGTGACTTTGTTTTTATAAAGCAACTCGATTTAAGACTATTTTGCATGTTAATCCTCTCTTTTCAACATCTAAGCTTCAAGGAGCAAGTAGATTGGTACCATCCGATTTCCTTCGAAGAACTGTATGCTTCATTAAAAAAACGATTTTCCTCTCCAATGTAATACATCGTTCTCTTTGAAATCTATCGGATATCGGACGTTTGTTGACAATCAACGTGTTCAGATACGTAATGATCATGATCAACTCCATGTTTATGTTGTTTCTCAGTTAAAAGTATCCTAGTTTCTTCATTTTATAAACGAAATCCTAATTTCAATCATGTTCACGGTTGACAAACCTTCATCCGTTTTCGAAAACAAGTTTTTCATCAAAGTAAAACTCAGTGCATGAAGTGGTTCACAAACACACGCCACTTACAGACATATATAAAAGCGCACATCCATCAGTTTATCATTGCTTTTGTTCGGAGTGTTTCCCACTGATATTGCGCACGTCGCCAAATTCGCTTCACACCTTGCTTCAGCTGCTTTCGATACAGTGGAGATGGGGTCACAAATATGATAACAATACTTGCTGCTGGAAGGAATGATACGAAATAGCCAACCAGAAAAAAACCAAAGCAAATCAGACGATCGTCTGCATTCTAATTTTAGCGAAATGATCAAGTGAGGCAATGTCAACAACGTTATGATCATTTGACTAATCATCAGCCGTCTGTATTTGACAATTTTCCATCTCAGATGACTCCAAATACGATTCTCATTCGATTGTATTAACAGTTTTTGATAAGCTGTACCTATAATAATCAGAATTATTGATCCAATCTGAACAACGAATGGCCCAAAATAATTGAAGAACATCAGACCAACGGTGTATCTTTTCAACCATGGCTTGTAATGAATCACACATCAACTTCGTCCTTCCATCTTATCTTCGAACACATGAAGATTGAGCATCTGTGGAACGAGCATTGCAACGTTGCCAACAAACACAAATGGAGTTACCCGTCTTGCTAGTTGTTGACTTTTTCTCTTGTTGAACTGTAGACCTTGAATGACCGAATTAGTTTTCTCCATTGCAATACATGCATTCAGCCAGTTGTCGATGAATAAAGACAACTTTAACATCACTTCGACGAATCGACAATTGATCGTCAGAACGATTCCAGCACTCAGCGTAATTGACGCGGAGTGAGAGTTAATTACGTGAAACTTCGCTCCATGATGAATTCATAGCCCAAGACCTTTCGCATACAACTGCTATTGTTGATTAAAAACGCCGCTTGCGCACAAGTAGATCGTCGTCAATGGACAATGAGCATGATCTTGACAACACTCGCCTCCATTCAAACAATATCAGTCATTGGCCGAACATCAAAAGCGATCTCCAGACGAGTACAGTTGCTGCTCGAACGACAAGCAATTCGCATGATGATCATTCGTAATTACGTATTCGAATCAAATGAATTTATTACTATTTGAAGAATATATAAACCATATATTCTGAATGTATGCACAAGTAATTTAACTGTTAGTTAAAGAGTCACTGATGAAAGTCTTGCTTCAATGTAGCTTCTCCAACAAAAGTAGCTTGAACTATATTGAATGTATACGTATAATCGAGTGTATTAATTAACATCGTCATATTTCGGTAAGACTTCACTAATAATGAAATCCTCATAACTAGGTGGTGAATTTTCTTCTTCATCAATGGATAAATGTTCAAGAATCTCCGGTAAAGATTTTAATTCGTCCATGATTTTCAACGTTCGCTGGTGATCAGTCGTACAGATAGTGGGTAATGTTAAAGTGAAATGACTGTTAAATAAGCCATGTATATGGCATTGAACATGTAGTTCATATCGAACATTCTTGTAAGATGATGTAGGCGCCATGACTTGACATTTCTCAAGTGGAATCGATAATTCATAGATATTGTGATGATACTCGTTATTGAATCCTTTGGACCGAAATCCTGTTAGTATAGTAGAGAATATCGTGAAGTCACTTTCTTCATCTGTAACAGTTCGATACTGTTTGAGTATTGCACGAATTGATTTGATAGTCGTTTTCATTGGATTGCTTATTTCAATCTCTAGCATATGACAATGACCAGGTACAATCAAACCGTTGTTTGAAAGTACGCCATGTAGTTTAACACCTTCGTATTGAACATTGCCCTCGATACTATAGTTTTGTAGCAGTTGTTGGCAAGCAAGTAACATTGGAGTGGGTGTGAAAACAGTAAATGGAACTTTTCGAGATAAATTCGAACGATATAAATAAACACGAGCATAATAACAGATGTATGAATCATCTCCATCACAATGTGGTAACGATGAAGGAAGTGAAGAATCTAGGAGACCATCAAATACCCAACGGTAGGTTGGACATTGACTGACTTCCTGAAAAAGAAATTAGAGAACTATTAGTTACGAACTTTTTCGGCTAGGAAAATTCTAACTGTTGGTGAATTGTCAGCTGGAATTTTAATCACTTGTGCACGTTTGCGAAAAAAAATCTGCACATTATTTAAATTTCTCTGCTGATAAATATTTGTTTTAACATCTTTCAATTCTCCAATTAATTCAACATACAATGGGCCGTATCTGAAGTTTAAATCATTGGTTTTATCATTAGTAACAATGTCAATTATACCATGTACTCGATCACCACTCAAATAAAAATCATAGGGCGTTTCACGAGTCAGTTTAACTTTGAATGATGACAATACCGATGGAGCGATATTGCCCATAACTTTGGAAATATTCAGATCTAAATAAAGTGTCAAAGTAATAGTGCAAACTAGCTATATAAAAGGAAAAAAGACACAAGGATAGACGAGAAAGAAATAACACCAACAACAAGCTATAGTCGGAACACATGATGATGCTACTTTGCCTAGAAACGTCGATAAAAAATAGAAGCGATGTCCTCACAGAACAGAAAGAAAAGGATAAAAACGATTCTTCTTTTCATTTAGCGACAGAACGCAAGAAAAACCGGAAAGAACTGAGAAAACGTTCAGAACGCCACAAAATTCTTAAAATAAGCCATTCTTTTTAAGGAAGTAATTGCGCAGTATGAATGAATATGATTGAGTTCCATCAAAATGAAAATAAGGCAATGTCAGTACTGTTCGAATACAGGTACAATAAATGAAAACAGTTAATGTATAATCAAATATGCTTTTAATGTGCCTTGTCAACTCTAATTATAATTATTGTTCGAAATGAAAGCATTCAGCCATTAGAGTGTGAGCACGAGACCAGCTAAGATAAATAGACAAAGCACAACGACTAAAATAGATACACTTAGATGCATATATGGTCTCAAAACATGGCTATAGTCATAATACATGTGTTGATCATATCAAATTGAGTGAAGAAAAGATAATTACTAGAAAGATCAATAGCAGTATGTAAAACAAGCGTCCATAGCATTAGTAGATGTGAAAAGCCCAGTGAAGAGTGAATTATAATAGGAAAGATCACCATCTCGGCTGAAGGCGTTGATCTGAAAGATCGTTTAAGAACAAAATGTGAGTAATTACATAGCAATTATTTATCAATGACAGTTCTCTTCGAACTAACAAATACTGATAAGTCGATTGCCAATTTAAAGTTCCAATATCAGTACAAACTGCTAGTAAAGCTATCGCATCGATTACAATAAAGTCGAATGCACTAATTCTACTAATCTTTATATGGTTGCGTGTTGCTACTTGAAGAATTTTGTTGATAAATACTGTCTTTTTAGAATAGATCAAAGTACGAAAAACTCTTGTTTTGAAAATCCAAGCTAAAATGACTGGCTGACCGTCAAGGACATTCAGTAGCTAGCACTTGCCTACAGAATTACGTAAATGACTAATGTCACTCTTGAAAAGTTAAGCATTGAGAAAAGAAGTCTTCTACATCCACTATACCATCAAAGATATATCTAACGTTGAAGTAACGCACATAATCATGAAAACAAAGATTCAATAAATCCATTTGTGATAAAAATTCTTTTGAAATCATCACACTATTCATGATTTATAAGAGCAATATTGCATGAAGCTGTCTTATTTATTGAAATAAAAAATAGGTCACTACTCCTTCTTCGTATACGCCGTACATTCGATTTCAACTTTTGCATTGGCTGGCAACGTTTTCACAGCAAATGTTGTTCTTGCAGGATAATCCTCCATAGAAGAAAAATATGAGGCATAGATAGCATTAACTGCTTGAAAGTCATTCATATCAGTTAAAAGTACAAGACATCGTGCTACTTGTCTTAAATCCGCTCCAGCAGCATTTAACACAGCTTGAATATTACGAAAAACTTGTTGTGTTTGATTTCGAACATCATCCGACACTAATTGACCTGTAGCAGGATTAATACCAATTTGACCACTCAGAAAGAGAATGTAATTAACTTGAACTGCTTGATTGTACGGTCCAATTGGTTTAGGAGCATCCTATATAGTTTAAATAACACACAGCATATAAAAGAATAAGCTTAATTTAGATTTACTTTACCGGTGTTGATATAACTTTTTTCTTAACATCATAGTCGTCTAGTTTTTCTTTGTGAACGACTCCTGTTGATTTGAATTTATCAGCCGTCACACGATGTTGAGCCAAAATACCGAACAGACAAATAAATAAAATACAGATTTTGCTCATTGTATACGAGAAAAACTACTGAATGAATCAAGTTACAGTAAAACTATGAAATGAGAAAGAAAATGAAGGTATTTAAATGAACTGATAGTGGTTATACGTTTGTAAACACAACTGAAGGACACTCATGTAGAAGAGTTGATTTACTTGTTGCTTATCGCACGCTACATCATATTTTACACAGGTAGCTTTGCAATATTTTTACATTGTCGATGCTGCGTTAACATTTTCTTCGTCCTACATATTCTTGCATTATACGAACTGAAAATTTGTTAACGTAAGCATCTCACACATTCAGTGAGATATACTGGTTGAAAAAGCATTATTACTCTGATTTCATATAAATCACATTCGACTCCAGTTGTTTTTCTTAGCAAAATTTCAGATAGATCGGTCAATATATCCTTTTATTCTGTATTAAAGATGATAACGAACTGCATATTCCATAGATCTATTATGATCGTGGTACTATCCAAATATTTTCCAATTGTTGTGCTTTCTCCGCAAAATCTATGCATTTACCGTCACCACGACCGATAAAACCGCCTGATGGAGCACATATTTGATGGCATTCTCCATCAAAAAGAGGATTAAATCGATCACAACAGCTACTTGTAGCTAGATAAGTTGTTTTACCACGATATATGTAGCTATCAATACTGATATATGGGCTAAGACGAGGTGTAGAGTTGAATCCATCGATCATTTTACGAACACATTTTGGTATTTCAGTTGTTTTAGCTGTTGATGTTGAAAACATCACACTGACAATGCAAACAGTAACAAAAATGACGGTTTTCATATTTGTTTTTTTACAGTGATGATGATGATGATGATCTGAAAATTTAAATAATGAGGACAAAACACTACTTTTTCACATTCGTAATCGATACAAATTTGCGATAAAAAAGAATGCAGTAAAACTGTAGTCGTCATTTTATTTTACGGCGTCGTTATCTTTTTTCTTTTCGTTTATAACAGTCATATGCATTTGACTCTCATCATGAATCAAAACGGCACAGTGTGAACAAACTCACAATTGCAGTTCGAAAGCTTATATACGTATAAAGATTTAGAAGTAATCGAGTAAAAAAAGTACTAATTGATTCTTACAGATCGCAAATGAAGATAATCTTGTTCTTGATATATTTTATGTTTATTTTGATGAATACTGATATGAAAATAATCTGCTTTAACTAATTACAGGCAAAATGCATGTGAAATGTCACATGTTGCGACTGTAAGTTGAATCCAATCAGTTGGGATTGGTATAGCATCGACAGATGGATGTTCTGATCGAAATAATCCGTTATGTTCATCATTAGAGTAAATCACTTACAATGTTATCAATGGTATTAAGATCTTCAAACAAAGCAGCGGATGTCCCGTAACTATTTTAGGAGGCCAGAGAACTTTTTTCAAATAAAAACATATCATTGAGTTTTCTACAATAACGAAAACTGATCATGGAACAGATTTAGGTTTTACTCATTGGAATGGATATAAAATTGTCATTCGATCGAACACATGTGTGGATAACTACATTCACCAATGGCCATTCATTGATAATCGCAGTAATGGAGCGTCAATATACAAAGCGAGCAATGGTGATGTTTATGCAAGAGAAAAAAGATCATTAGGGCGTCGTTTATAATAATTCTGGTTAAACTTGTGCGATCTCAAACAAAAGCATGCAAAGAAATTCATTTGCGAAATGTCAGAGACTCCAAGTGACACAAATGAATGTTCACTATTTTATTTGTGGAGAATAAAAGTTAACATAATTTTATCTGCGTTCTTGTAAGTATCCTATTTGAAAGAATAGTTGAACATAAAACAGAGAACTCTTCTTGAGAAAATCATTAGCGATCATACACATCATATCTATGACTGTAGCACTGCCAAAGGTAGATAAGCAAATTATATATCCTTACAGCATGTCTATTTTGCAAGCACTACTAATTTTGAAAATTATGTTATCGCAAAAAACTCGATGCAGTTTATGATCTTCGACTTAACATCTGAAGTGGTTTTATTTGATATATACATTTAATTCTTGACGACTTACAGATTTTGTTTAAATATATTAAGCAATGTAGTATCATGTAACGTATTGAAAGATTTGATCATATATTTTGATATGATTTATGTTAACTGCATTAAAACACAGAGAATACATAAAAACGTCATTTTTTTATCATTATACACATGCACTGAAGTCAGGTGATAGTGAAAGAGATGCTTTATACCCAGTATGTCGATTTTTGTAAGAGTTTAAGCAATTATATGACTCACCTATGACAAAGAAGTGCTTTTTTTCCAGTGAAACACGTAGAAAAATGAGACATAGCTAAAAACATAAATCTCTCTCTCTTAAATCAAGCTTTCGTGACTTCATCGAAGTAATAAAGATAACAACGGCAGCCACATTGTTGTGAAAATAAAATAACAAGGATATCGGCGAAAGATGTCTGAAAACAATTTATTGGGTCAAAATCGACGAAGATGATCGAATATTGAATTACTTTGTTGATTTAACACATTCATGATGTCAAAAGCTACTTTACGTACGAATATATGTGTACGCGTCACTAAAGTAAGATACGATACTTTATGACTTTTTCTATAACTCAAAGCTTTGTTATCACAATGACTCATACTTCCTTTTCTTCTTTTTCGGGAAATTTTAGGTTATCTCGTGAAAAAAAGTCAGAATCCACTTTCGTTTGACTACAACTTGGAAACTTCAGCGAAAGGCATACGATGCTGTGTTGATATGATGCCCACACAGACACACACATATATATACACACTTCTTTTCATCGCCACACATAACCAAATTCCACTCTCCTGTTATTTACAAGAACTTCCACACATAAACAATACTAAATTCAGTTACAATGCATTTCAAATTCATAATTATAGCTGCCACAGTGATCCTACTTCTAATATTGCAAACCCAAGCTTCGCATCTGAGTTTTAGAACACCGTTAAGTAGTAAGATCTTAGATAATTGTCATTCATCTAAAATTGTTAAGTTTCTTCTCATTGTAGAGATATCAAAGAACAAGAACAAATGGAATTATTCATATATGTCTTATCGCAATAGTGAAAAGAAAAGGACGAGGCATGCAAATGTCGAATAACGTGATATAGAGATAGATTTAAACAAAGAATACTCATCGATATCGGTGTGAAACAAAAAGTCGAGAAGCGCAAACAAAATGTGTATTGCAATGCAGCTTTCAAGGCCATCGCAACGGACACTGTCAACCGTACAAAAATCATCTTCGGTGTTTTTGTTCTGGCTGATTGGTTTCAAAATCTTATTAAGCTGCATTTTCTCAAAGTAATCTCTGGTAACAAATAATCAAGAATCGACGTTATGACGTTTAACCCCGTGCGTGTATAGTGTCAATTGTCTGATTTCAATGATTGACATCCCGGTAAGTCCTTTGAACAGAGGAAAGCATATGACTGTGATCAAATAAAGTTGTGCGCTTTTCTTGTCACATTGTAATATATATTAGAAAAACTTTTAGCACAAGAACCATGTTTTTTTGTTGCTCTGTTCTTATGATTTATTTTGTACCCTTTCTTCTATATGTGAAAGGAACTTGTCTTTATCTTGTTACTATGAATTAAATAAATCATTACCGTGCAAACATCTTACTTACTGTGAAATAAGTTTTGATTGAGATGAAAATTAGAACCGTGTCCTTGCTTTTGTCAAAGTTTCGCTTTGACTAAGTTTACAAGGAAAAAAAATGAAGCAACTAAATTATTACATCAATGAACGCTCTATACTCATATCGATAAGGACTTTATCTACGACTGAGTTAATTTTCACTGACCATCGTGGATCTGTCGCAAACGGCAGTGTCCAGTTGTGATTAAGAATCGATCTTCATGAGTTTTAAACAACAAAGATAATAAATGAACCAATGAAGATTTTTTCCCAGAAAAATTACTTTATGATATGCTCTCCAAAAGATAATAAATTCAAATCTGATTCGTCAGAACATACTTTTATCTCAAACTACTAAAATGATTTAATGTGACTCAACCAAAGATAGTATGAATGCATACGGTTAAAAAATAACATTCAGTCTACATATCGATACGACTGTCCGTTATATCAGCATGGACTTTTACTTCGATACTCCTTGGCACGAGATTCAATTACTAGTGCACATTTTCATCGGAATTTCTACAAAGCTCATATGAAGTAGATAAAATGATATTTTATATTTGTTTAGTACACTTCATTTGATATTCTGATGAAAGGATTAGAAAATAGATGGTAAGAAGTGTTCATAATGTGTTTTGTCATATAAACACACAGAACCAAAAAAGAAAATACTTTGATTGTCATGAATTTACTGTTTTACCAAACAGTTACCGTTGGCTTAATAATCAATTCATTAAGATGTCCTAGATGTGCTTACAAGGAAATAATCGTACTTTGACAAACAAAGCTAATCGATATATTGAACATTACTCGTACACGAGAAAGAGCAGAAAATCAACGTGTTTTTAATATTCCTTGCTATCGAAATATTAGGTGCGAGTTAATCTTTAACTGTGAAAAAGGTCGTCAAGAACGAGTATTTCTCAGAATTATCATCATTGAGAAGAAACTAAACGTGTTTTTGTTGTTGATATTCTACTTGTCAGCCTTGTTTTGTGAAACTGAGCGTATACGAATCAATATGATCGTATCATTGTATAGCTTTTGACATACCGGTAATCTGCTCAATGAGAAAAATCACGTACAAGAGTGCGTTATGCGAGATTCATATTTGTGTCAGTACAGTTAGACATGTATTTAAAGTTGACTACTATGACTACAATGAGTTGATCTTCGCCACATCTTGACAATTCAGTTCACGAATCATTATTCGATACTTTTCAAGCGTCTTTCGTCTACTCTTTCTATATTTTAATACATCTCGTTGAGAGTAAATCGGTATCAGTTCGATCGTAATATTTAGATACAAATTCTTATAAAGCAGTTGTTTTTGTTATTGATTAAGATAGAATGAATTATACAACGACGATTCTTCGTGTCAGTCGTAGTACGAGTGATATTCTGACAGCGATGCCTTACATAGTCAACATTTTCATCGGTACATTTTTGGTCGTGATGGGAAACATTGGTTGTATTGGTAATGTGATTGTATATCGATCACCTATATTTTGCAATCAAGCTTATGCAAAATATCTGTTGGCAGAAACAATCTCCGATTTCTTTGTAATCAACCTTGTACTTCTCACACGAGTGATCGAAAAAGGTTACGGAATTCCAGTATATACTACTCGCTATGATTTTATATGCAGAATTCGGCAGACTGGTTCATATTATTTTGTTCTGACATCATTTTCATACTATACACTAGCAACACTCGATCGAATTTTATCCGCACAACGTTCTTATTGTAAGTAAATACTACTTTCTATGTTCGAAAACAACGATGAACTGCATAGTTGAGATATTTTGCACACATACTTGACCACGTTTTCTATAACCAAATAAAATATCGTTCTTGAAACGTGCGACTCACTCTGCTCGTTTTAGGGCTCCGTAAGTGGAACAATCGTATTTCTCTGGCTTATAAGTTAATCGTTGCATGCGCCATCATATGGCTCTTACTCATTGGTCACCGACTTTTCATATATGCATTGGTCCATGGCAAATGTAATCCTCAAGTTGCAGTTTATGATCAGGTTAACAATTACATAGAAGCGATTGTAATGGAACTAGGTCCACTAATAATCGTATTTACACTTGCATATCTTCTGAAAAGATCTCTTCGAAACATTATTCAGCGACCAACTGCTAGTATTACGATTGGAAAACACTCTCGAGTGCATCATATCGATTCACAAATTACATTAATGTTACTGCTTCAATCCATAGTAGCAATCATATCTTTTCTTCCATATGGAATAGAAACACTTTACGATCATATAACTGAGACATGGTATAAAACGTCTTTACAACTTGCCATTGAAAAAATCATCGGTCAAATCGCGCATACATTATTGTATACATTTTCTGCTTCTAGTTTTCACATATCAATCATCTCTAGTCATGGATTTCGTCGTGAAATTAAACGTATCTTACGCAAGAAAATGATACATCCTTTGCCAACTACACCGACTTTTACAGCTAAAATACGATAGAAGTTCAGAATATTAATTACTTTGATTCTGAGGAAACTATATCTTATCATTATTTTTATTGATTCCGAAAAAAATATATATAAACTTATGCAGCTTAGCTTAGCAAATAATTGATTGCCTCCAGATAAAGTATTATTTTGTAAATAAGCGCAACTACCTTTACTTTAAGGGATGCATCAACTGTATCTGATTTAGTCAAGAACGAGCAATTTACGAGAAAATCGGGACGACGTAATGAAAATGATGAGCATGCAAGCACTCTGCAATATTTCCTCATTCATATTCATGTTCAAGCTGTCAATTAAAAGTAGCTCAATGCCAGCGATCATTCTCAATATCTTGTTCAATCAAATCCTACACTACATATTCCTCATAGGAATAGGAACAACAGCTAATGATAGACACGATAATTTAATCATTCATTCATCCATCATTGTTAACCATATTACTTTTAGAGGTTTACCCAGTGTATATAAATTAGATCATTCACGAGAACGTACATAGCAGTCATAATTTGGAGTTTTATGGATCATTCGTCGATGAATGAACAAGTTCAATAAAGTTAATGACTCGAATTGTTCTGCTTCTACCTATGAAAAGCATATACTTTGCACAAATATTTCGTGATAATACTAAATGACAAACATTGCCGCTTATCCGACATGACTGATGCTTAGAGTATGACTCTGTCAAAATTACTTCCCTTCTATGTTGGAAACTTTGATGAGAGGAGCGGCATCTGTTTATTTCTCTATCTGCACATACGACGACGACAAACATCATTCGTGTAATACGAAAACAGAAAAGAACGATATGTGCCGTAAGTAAAGTGAGCGCTGCATTCGAGTATTTATTTTCCGGGTTCGCCTGAGAACTTGTGTTGAGTCTAAAAATGGTTGTGTTGAGCTTCAAATTTAATTCTCTATCAAACGATATAGTTTTCGACATGTGTTATCAAAAAAACAAAATTAGTCACATTCACGCCCAGATCCTCACCTGCGATGATATCCTCGCAACTTACATCCATTGATACAGAACTAAATTCTGAATATAGCACAACCGGTTTTAGGCTCAATACAAGTTCTCCAGAGAACCCGGACAATAAATACTTGAATATAGTGTTAATTTTATTCAGGTCGATGTGTGATATATTTCAATATTTTACGTCGATTCTGAGTCATAGATATTTTGATTTCGACGAAATGTACGACGAATAAGATACCATTATTACGGCTTATTCCTACGACTATATGATATACCTGCAATAATTGTTGAAAAGACAACGTTGAGGATATCAATGATGTCCACAGATTCAACACAATCGAATAATAATTACAGTAAACACATGGATGGTCACATGATTGCTATCGATCTGCTGCATGAGAATTATTCAGATAACGTGTGTTTTCTCTTATTTCCGTCAATTAAATATCAGATGAAATGATTTCAGATTTCTAAGAAAGCATTTTCGCAGCTAGCTAAACTGATTTGTCGAAAACACAAACTATAAAGCTTCATAAACCACCCAAGTTAATGATTTCGACCCTAGGACCCATGTCACTCCATCAGAAACCTGAAAGAGAAGACAACGGCTCCTTCCAATTCTCATAGAGAACCGGATAAATTCATGTGCTGGATACGTTCAGAGAATTCCTTCTTGCATTTTTCGCTGATATTCAATGTCGTCCTACTGGATCAAGTCCGTACTTCTTTAGATGTACATTAGCAATTGGCACAAGTTAAAGTTACGATAAAAACTGATGAGTTCATTCACGCGATTCTGGGGTTATATTGATCAGAGCTGAAAATTTAATGATATAATATTTAAAATCACAGTAGTTTTTCCTATAACTTACTTGCTACTCAATCTTATCATCCGAGACTACGAATGAGTGTTGTGAGCGTTTGCATAAGTTTGCAGCGTTCAACAATGTGAACGGAGTTAATTGTATTGCTTCCTGTTGATGTCTGTCTTACTAAACAGTTCTATAATGCTCACAGCCAATGCTGTTGCGCAGGAATATAAAAAATAGAATATCTCGAAACCCTTATGTAATGAAATGAGAGAAACTCACGTATTGAAACCATAACGAACATTTGTCCGCTTTTCTCGAATTAATGAATAAATCTGCTTGTAGTAGGTAGGTTTTTTCCTTTTTCGAAAATCTGAGAAATAATATCAGCAATATGATAAGAAAATCACGTGAATAATCCTGACGATAGAGAATATGTGTCATTTAAACTGGCATTACGTGGATGAAACTCTAAGAGTACGATAGTTTACTTCCTACTCATTCTCTGTGGGAAAGATCAGCAACTGTGCAAGACATTTCACCAGCAATATATAAGAGTCGTAGATCCGCTCTGAAAAAAAATATTCTATTTGTCGCTCAAAACTACAAGAAAGCTTTCGATATTACCAAAACCAAGTAAGTAATTACTCGAATGACGGATGAAAAAGTTTATTGAAACGAGATTATCTTAGATGTTTATGAAAAATTCTAAGCAATTCATTTTGGTATGTTTAATTGGTACTCTATTTATGGGAGTGCAAGCTATGAACCAACTCAACGCAAACACAGATCACAGTAAGAATGGAGAGTTTCAATAAACATAAAGCAGAATAATGTGTGTTTATATAGAAATGAACGTGGGAAATGACATACCACTGGATCTTCCTATTAAGTACTGTAAAAGTATCAGCCATTTGGAGGATAGCAAATGTAGTCACTGGTGTGTATGGCACAAGTATAGATTTGGAAAGTGTGAAGAATATAAAGATAAAATCATATGTGTTTGTGCTTAATTGATCAACATTAATCGCTATTGTCTAATTAATCGAGAAATTGTATGAAAATATTTTTCCATGTCATTGTCTAATCAACTAACAAAAATTTCTCTTACAAATTCCTATGAATATATGCGCTGGATTTTCTGGTATCTTGCAGAGAAAATCATATGCTCAAATTTATGCATGATTCCTTGTGAAGGTATAACATATTCTCAAAGATATCAAAGTCGAAAGAGAGCAAGATACTAACTATATAACGAAAAACGAATATAGATAAGTAGAGATTGAAGCGTGTGTAGAATATGATGTGGGCTAGAGGCTGCGCCAGAATTTTCGGTTCAGGGGACTGAGCTTCTCCGGAACAAAATCTGAATTGGCTTAGTCCACCCTAGGCACCGCCATATCATGTGGGTGAAGCTGATCATCATAAGTGTAATTGAAATTGCGATTTACAGGTATTTCTTCTTTCTTTGTTGATCTAAAGATACCGTCCTTTCAAACTCATTTGGGTTTGACGTGTTTGTGCATTAAATCACACTTTACAGATTGGACCTGACGCAGCAGCTTAATGTATGTTTTTCTGTGTTATGGATGAGTGAGTAAAAGTATTACGACTGAAACCAGCAGAGATATCTTAGATATAGTATATATATGAGAGAATCGGTTCTGACAATGTCAAAGCTATTCCTGACATATCCTATGTGTCGACTTGCAAATTTTCTGTTAAAAAATCTCGAATCCCAACTATGCACTTTAATCAGTTACAATCAAGTTTTTGTTGTCGCAACACGCTTTGAATATCAGTCGGATCACCCATAAGTCCATTTGACATAAATACTGTTATCGTAGAAATCTAATTGAATAGACATGCAAGCTGTACTTCTCAACAATTGAGGGACAAAATCGTTTTTGACTTTGCTTTCAGCAACCACGTGAAACTGATCACCTAACATATAAATCCAAACTTCGACTTAGTTTACTAGCCTAGCCTTGACTTGTATGTATGTACATTATTTCTCACAACGGTGTAAACCAACGGAATTACGTGATATTCTACCACATCATCAACGTCCTCGAAACTCTTCGATCAACACAGTCAATCAATGCAAACATAAACAGTTGCTCGTGATCATTGTTCCATTTTGAGCACACACACATTTGATGATAATGTTTGTCAGCACCTATCAAGCAATCAAATTCATTGTTCTTCTCACTCTGTAACATTTTTTCATCGTTACTCTTGCTCTCTCTCATCAATTGCAAAAAGTCGTCACTGTCATTTTCTGTTTCTCCCACACTTAATCTTTTGCTGTTAACTATACACACACTGCATAACGACGTCTACATTGAAGACAAAGATGATCATCGGAGAAGGTAAAGAAATATATGAGGTTTTTGCGATGATTTTTCTTCGGTTGACATTGACGACATGTCAACTGAACATGTACAACAACCGAGAAATCGTTGGTGGTAATACACTGGCATACGATTGTCTGGATTATCATGGTCAACATCGAACAAAGCTAGTTAATCAAGATTTGTATGATATGACTATTGAGCTGATCTCGTTCTGTATCCGTCCGGTGCGTCCAAGTGATGAGCCAGTGGACACGTTCGTTCATCCACTTGCTCGTCGTCTTTCGTTTGAACGGGTGAGTGACATGGGTGTCACCGTTGAACAACTGTTGTCATGGTCAATTCCAACAGTGATAGTTGAGCGTTATCAACGCTATCTGAGCAGTCACAAGGTGGCACCATTGAACGAGCAATTCTACAACTGCACTTCTGCACGGTTCGGTCTTCGGTGTCAGTATTCGTTTGGATCTCGTTTCATACAAGGAATGTCTTTTGATGATTTGATCGATGACACATTTCACAGCAAACAATCGTATGCCACGTCATGGGATGATATGACAACGTTAGCAGCGCCTATCCCGTGCTATGTCTTGATCAAATGTCATCGCAATGGGATCGAGTGGTGTCTTGATTGGCGTGAGATATGTGATGGAGTGGTAGATTGTTTCGACGAAGGTACCGACGAAGAACATTGTTTTGCATTGGAAATTAACAAATGCAAGGCGGACGAATATCGATGCCACAATGGCATGTGTATCGCAGAAGATCTATGGCAAGATGGCGAAGACGGAAGCGAAGTGGATTGTCTTGATCGGTCTGACGAAGTTCAAGATGAAGCTTCTTTAACGATGTGCTATCGGGATGTGTCATTCCGTTGTGAACAGCAGGCATGTCGACCAAATGAACTTCGATTCTCATGCGGCGATGGTGAGTGTGTTGGAAAATTTACACCTTGTCATAGTGGTCGACATCAGTTGTTGATTGAGTCGATGATGCAAGAAGGCGATCTGAATAAAGAGTGTTGGATGACAATGGTTTGCTTGACTAAACTTGTCAAACAGCTGAATGGGACACCATGCGATGTATGGTTGTCAGACGACTTCATCAGTGCACATCTCGCACAATGTCCTCGCCTGTTTCAGTTTCCAACAACTGCAGTCCACTCAAACCACGTTCTTTTTTTCTACGCCGATGTTCAGACTCGCGAAAATCTGACGAATGATTTTATGCCTGACTACATGTGTTACAATGCAGAACTCTGCGAGTTTCATTCAGTGCATTGGCTTTCTGACGATAATCTGACTTGCTTGAGTAAATGGGATATGTGGATCGAATGGGACAATACGGTTGAAGATCCATGGAGTCAATTAGTATGGTCGGTTGAGCGAGAGTTTCGTCCTTGTATGGTGTCCACAAATGATGCTTTTCGCAATCAGATGCTCGATTCAAATGATTCTACCTTGTATCAGTGTTCGAACTCATTAAAAGTCATTTCTTCGCATCGTATTAAGGACGCTTTGTACGATTGTATTGAGAACGACGACGAAGCCCGTGCGAACAGCTGTTCGTTTAACGATCGATATCGAGCCAGATGTGAGCATGAAAACGAGTGTTGGTCGCCGTTAATGAAACAATCCGCCTGCAGGGGCAGTGATGAGCAGAGTGAAGACATTCTACCATTTGCAAGCTTTTGCGATGGCATCTCACAGTACTATTATCATAGCGCGAACAGAGAAAAGCGAGACGATGAGGATGGGTGTGATATGAATGCACTGTGTGACAATATGTATTCACGTTGCGATGGCTTCTGGGCATGCCCAGATGGTCGCGATGAGTGGAACTGTAATAATCACTCGCTATGTCCGGCAGCAAGCCATGCTTGCATATCTCCTTATAACTACACAGTGTCGTGTTTGTCTGCTGATCGTGTCAATGATGGAGTTGCTGACTGTCTGGGAGCTACTGATGAACAAGAGAAATGTCGCTTTACTTTCCGTTTACATCACGACCTTCGTCCTCTGAGTTGTCTGGGAAATGACGAATGTTTACGATCGTCCCAGTTTTGTGACAACAGAGTTGATTGTTCACGGCATTCAGATGATGAACAGTTTTGCCAAGATCGACCGTTCACATGCAATCAAACTGTATCACACGAACGAAATCCACTCGAGCACATTCTTTGTAGTCTAGATGAAGAAAATGAACATCGGATCAAATTCTTTTCGGTGATTACATCGACACTCTATCCCGCGTCAACCGAATCGTCCGATCATCATGATCGCGTGTATTATCGACAAGTCGAAAAGAATAACGAGCTGAAAGATGCAATGAAGGTGATGGCAAAACGAACGTTCACACGAGAAGATCAACGGTGGTCACACTATTGCAACCGTGGCATTATGATCGAAAAACAGTCGAAGAATATCACTTCCTTCGACTGCTTGTGTTCAGCAAGTTATTACGGTGATCGATGTCAATATCAAAGTCAGCGGGTTAGTTTATCATTGCAGCTAACTTCAACAAGCCGATATGAAACCTATGCTGTCGTCATCCTACTAGTCGATGACCAGCACAATGAAATCACAGCATTCAGTCAATTCAAGTACATTGCAAAAGATAGTTGTACAATGAAATGGCATGGAGTTCTTCTGTATCCGACGAGACCAATGAATAGTTCCACAAATTACAGTGTTCGAATCGATGTGGTTGAGAAGAACTCAATGGATTACGTTAGCCATTGGTATTATTCGATTCCATTTGTGTTTTTACCTGTGAATCAGCTGAGTGTTACATTGAACTTATCGTCAAGTGCAATTATCGGAAAAGTCGAGTGTGGCATGAAATGTTTAGATGGAAAACAAGAATGTATGGTATATGTCAATGTGAAAAACAAGTCATTTTGTCGATGGAAACCATCTGAAACAATTGACGATGAATGTTCGAGTGGATCTGTGTTTATTGGCTGGACACAAAATCGGCGACCGATCTGTGTGTGTCCATTCTTTCGACATGGACCAACTTGTGCATTGATGTCATCGCAATGCTCGCCGAATCTTTGTCAAAATCAAGGCCAATGTGTTGAACATGATGAGAGCTTGTTTGGTAGAAAGTACACATGTGTTTGCACTGGCAAGTATTACGGTCTGAATTGTGAACACGAGAAATGGCAACTAGATGTGTCGTTCGAAGGCATTGACGTTTCGTCGTATGTCATTGCACATTTCTACACTATTTCGAATGATTCGCAACCACAAAAAACAATCCTTCTTCGCAAGCTGACACTGTTTCAACAAGTCGTAACATTTCATATTTCAATTCCATTTCACTTAGTTTTTATCCAGATCAACGAACGTGACTTTTATCTCGTCTATCTTCAGCATTCATTGCCGATGCATGCATTCACTCAGCTCAGTGACAAACAGCGATGTCATCCGATGAGTAATTATGTCAACTCCACAGTATTGAAACTGCATCAATATGAACGAATAGCTCATTTCCATCGCGTCTGTTTGCAAAACTGGCAGATAGTGTGTTTCGTTGATGAAATGTATTTGTGTTTATGTACGAATGATCATCATGCGAATTGTTTGCCGTTCGAACAGCAACTGTACTCTTCTGCAGATCGCTTTCGATGTTCGACCACTGATCGATATTGTTTG